AAGAGCTGTGTGTGTGTTTGTGTTCACTGATTTTTATCTTCTCCATAAAGCTTTAGGGTTGGAGGCTTCCAGAGAGATGCATAGATGAATCAATGTGTCAATTATGAAAGGTCAGACTATAGATTTACGCTAACTTTTTAAAGTTGATGATATAATTCATAAGGTCACTGCCAGTCTATCCAGAAAAGAAAACTGTGTGTTGAATATGCTAGTGCAGAGATATTGGCTATATCGTACACACATATCACTCTGTCAACAAGCTTATGAAAGTTTGTCTCAGATCACTGACTTTACTCTGTTTAAAGCTCCTATGTGGAGTTTGTTTACATTCATGAAACAGACAGACAAATTTAAACTTATGCTTCTTCATCATGTCCAAAAGCAAAGACAACCCTCGGAGAAAAGACATGAAGACTTTTGTATTTTACTTTTTGTTTCCTAAAACTGGTGTGAGGTAGGTGTCAGACAAGCAGCTGAAGAAACAGCCCTGATACACAGTTTCTTCACTGAATATTCACACGTCATGATATTTTGACTGTCAGAGGTCAGCAGGATTAGCTTTTTTGACAAATGTCACTTATTGAGAATGTAGTGGACAAGGTGAGCAAAGGCTGCTTTGTCCACAGGGGGCGCCACAGGAGCTTTAACAAGATCCAGAAAGCAGTTTTACTGTAACTCAAAGCAATCTAAATACAGGACATACTGCTCCATATACGCTGGTAGGCAATACATTTGAGTCACTACACATAAAATAGAATAGGAAAAAAAGGAAGGATAGGGGAGGTGGGGTCTTACACAAAATACCAAGTCCACAAAAATTGATTGGAAACGTTTGTTTTCGTGTCCAACAATTTATTGAATAAATATCTATACTTGTGTACTCTTTACATTTTTAATAATAGAGTCAATTCTCTATGCAATGGGGCTGAGCGATAAAACTATAATGATATATATCATTAAATCAAATATATCAAAAATTAATAAATAGTCAATATAGTTTTCAATAGTCATTATACCATGTTTTGGGAGTTGCTCCAGGTCTGCACCGTGCTGAGCCGGCCATTCAGTTCGCTTCCTCTAGTGCAACGTCTTACCACAAAATGTCAAAGAAACACAAAGACCTCACAGATGCAGTAGCTTGTATTACAGAAGACATGCTAACAGTGAGTACTGTTAAATTTCATTTAAGAGTAACAGGGAACTTTTAAGTTTGATAAGAGATTTTTTTTATTTTTTGCAATTTATCGATATTGACTGATATGAAAAAAATATATATATTGTGATAAACCTTTTCCCATATAGCCCAGCCCTGCCACTCACCCAACATATTTACAACCTGGTACCAAATCTTAAAAAAACAAAGAAAGAGAGAGAGGTTTTGGTTTGGTTTGGTATTTTTCGTAACTCACCCCTATTGATTATTTGAGGGCTAGGAGATATCTATACTTAGGCAGGATTAGGGGTGTGGCTAAGGGAGCTTCAGCCATTTTTAGTCTTTCCATCTTCAGATACAGAAAACAAACTATGAGCTATTGCCCATTAGTGTAAAACATCGTACAGTTCGAGGAACATTAATCTCAATGATTACGAGCATGCTAATGCTAATGCTCTCCCACAAGAGGGAACCCCCCCTCGAGGGCTGATGACTGGTGTAGGCAGCATGACTAAAAAGCCCATCAGCCCATATTAATTACACAAGACATTACATTACGATAATCATGAAAAATGAGTGCTTTCAGTCCAGAGATAGGGAAGTGTTCAGTCTAACATGGCTGTGTTCAAACTGCAAAAGGCATGATTGTGCATTTTCAACTTTTCACCCTGATCTCATCATCATATAACGTTAGTGTGCAGCCTTATTGCAGAGATACTAAAATATGTACTTTAGATAAGCCTTTTCCAGACCTCTGTTTACAGAGCATCTGTGATTAATTTTGAGGTAGTAAGCAGTTTATGCAACAACAGATGCTACCTGACAGCAGGGGAAGCTGAATATTCAATGATCTGCCTTTCATTGGTGGACTCCTTGGTCCAACCACTCAAATGAAATTTCCTAAAGCTTAGAGGGCCAAGAAACACATTCTAGGTCCTTCCAAACCCAAATACAAGCTAAATCTCAGCTTTAGGTGCAGTTTCAGAAATGTTGTAAGGTATCTCAATCATTGGCTTGCCTGGTGCATATGGACTTGTAAATGTAGTATTCAGATCTTACTAGCACAAACTATTGTGATTTTTGACAAATAAAATTAAAAGTTGGCAAACCTGCAGCAAAGAGATTGAAAGCTTGAAAGATAACACATTTACCAACAAGACCCCATCTTTGGGGACATCTTTTATGTATAGGCAGTCTAAAGCATATTGCAACCTACTGAACCCATGATGGCGACCAAACTCCAGCCAATATGTTCAGCTCCATACATCTCATACTCTCCCGTTGCCAAGTCCAGCAAAACTGAGTGAGCTTATAAGGCAACAGACTTACTTAACTCAACTCCATGCTGACAGCCTTACTAAGTGGGACTCTGGAAGGCTCAAGAGGAGACTTCTGTGGGACAAGATAACCAGGATTATGGTTATATGTATTTAGAGCTCTCCAAGGCTATAGGGTATGTATGGTGACGCTTGTTCTGGGGGGAGATGACTTAGCCAGAACTCCTTGTTGGATAAAGATAACGTTTAAGATTCAGAGATTTATTTGCAGGATTTGCAATGAGTAGTAAAATGCAATGGTGGTTAGGGTCAAATGTAATTATAGATTATATAGGCAAAAGACATTCTTAGGGACAATATTAACTGTGGGGACCTGACGGGTTTTCCTCCTCCTCAATCTCAACATCTGACCGTTGTAAACATGTTCAAAGTCAGAGCAGATTTTAAGGGCTATAGCCAAAAGCTACAGCCTTGGATTTGCCAGTACTCTTGCTTGGTTCAATGGTTTCACTGCTTGAGTGCAGGAAAATCTACCCATTTCTTACAGCAGGAAATATCAGGCTTGTTAAACAAAAGGTCATGCCAATAGGGCCACATGAGAGAGCGCAGAGAATGGAGATTCAAAGTATTCACCTACTTAGTCCATTGAGGCGGTTTGTCTACATGTTTCAAGGACACGTTCTTACTTTATTTATCAGGAAAAATGGGATGAAATGATGAGGAAATACTCAAGATTTGCATTTTAATGTATGGCATATTGTGTTGGTTAGGTAAGTAATCACAAAAGATGCCAGCCAATTGAACTGCAGTGATTCATTTTGAGGCAGGTGGTGTATAGCACACATCTCCATATGTCAGCCTTTTTTTTTGTTTGTACCTAGGTTCTGCTTCCAGGCAGAAACTTGGTCTGTAAGTGGTTTGATTATGAAATAAGTGGCCTGTCACAAAGTTTTGATCATACTTTTGAAATGCCAGAGCACGTAACAGAAAAGAAAAAGTATTTTAGGAGGAATGTAATGAGGAGCAAACATATGCGCATTTTCTGTTGTCAAGATTGATGTAAACCCTGCAGGGATTTTGTATTGTAACTGAAGCCAAAGAACAAAAGGCAACAAAAATTGGTCACTAAACAGAAAGCCAAGCCTGTGGTTTAGGATCTCTTCATCCAGAAAAATACAATTTTAACCTTAGTATGTTGGTTCATTAACAACAAATCCATTCACATTTCACAATCATGGTATTTGACCTCACATACAACCAACATGTTCCGATATATTGGAATACGTCCACACCGCAGACATTTTGGCCTTTATCCAGACAAGTGCAGCAGCATCTGTTTTGGCTGTGTTGCTTTGGTGACATAAGTCTTTCGGCTGAAAATAAAAAATGTGTTTTTGGGCCATTTTCTACCAAAAATTTCTGGTTGCCGAATTTTCAGTGCATCCCTACTTTTAAGGGCACAATCTGTTAGATTTGGTGACATTGAGGATAAAAGTAGAATGTAACTCATCCTTTTAACACTCGAACTACCAAGGCAGTCATTTTGACTGCTTTCAAAATTTACAATGTCATAACTTTTTTTAAATAAAACCTATACACTAGTCACACCCCAAATTTTTAATGTGTGTGTATTTTATTCTAATATTCTTTTATCATTTAAATTTTAAAATGCGAAACAGTTCTGAGTATTACTACCTCGAACTACCAGTGCTGTCAAATTGACTGCATGTTTTTTTTAAAGGGTGTTATATTTCGCCATCAGCTACATTTTCCCGCTCTGTGAAGCTAAAATCTTGCAATAACTTTATTTAAAACTCAAAAGACTCAAAAATGACAACTAAAAGAAAAATGACGAGTATGGAGGCTTTAGCCTTGCTTCTGAGCCTTGATGGGGAAGAATCTGATGGATGAGCAAGTTCAGGGAATGATGTGTCTTGGTTTTTTGAGGAAGGTTCTTAAAAATCTAATTTATTATGATTTTCATTTTGTGTACTGTTGTGTTTTTGTATCTGTTCCACCAATTTATTGTTAGTTTTCATTGTTGATTATCCAAATCATGTGCAGATAAAGACTGAGCCGTCAAAATAACTGCCTATGGTCAGTCTAGTAGTTGCAGGTCGAGTGAATTTTGGTAGGCCGAGTGTTAAAGTGAAGAAGAAAACAATAACAAATAAAAAAACACCACTATCAGGGGCAGGTCAGTTGATTCAAACTGTATTTCTGGCATCTGCAGAGCTGGGAACCCACATCTCCTGTCTCGCTTAGTTTGGCTAGGTCATCTAGTTAATGTTTTCAAAGGCACTGATCTACTTTCTTGTTGCATCCCTAAATTACGTGTAACAACCTCCAAAATTTATTTACCTATTTGAATGTGTATTTATTATCGTTATAATTATTATTTTTAATGTTATTTAGTCTAGATTATTCATTTTTGAAAAATAAACAGCTCATTAGATGCAAGGACAATCAGGGTGGAAATAACCTTCAGTGCCCTGTTGGAAAAGGTCACAGTAATTTAGAGGTACTTTAAACAAAAATATACAAAAAGACTGGACATCAAAGGGCACTGCTTACAATCATACAAATATATGTTATTTTATTGAATAATATTCCATAATAAGACAACTCCTTTCAATTCATGTAGGAGTAATTGTAGAAATGTACACAGATCTGATGGCAAACATGGAGACAGGTTGAATCAAGGGCTTGTGTCTGTAGATACTGAGAGGGAGTCATCCCTTATGAGCCAAACAACAGTGACATATGCATGCTTTGCAAAAGAAAAATACCCATGTCAGTCAAGACAGTTTGCAGTTATTATTGCGGACCACGGGTTGCCTTGTAGCCTGCAAATCCTGATTGTAGTTTGTTAGCATTTTGGATTTGTTTTTCTTCCTTGAATGCAAGCTGGTAGCTCCCATTGCATATTGCTGGTCTTAATTCCTGTTTGCTGCTCCTCAAAGTGATCAAAAAAGCCAGTCCATTCCTGCCACATGCTGTGGCTCTTGTAAGGAGTCCAACGTTTTTCAACATTCCAGGTAACACTCAGAAAATGTCTGAGGATTCAGGCTCTTTGAGGCTGATCAGTGCCAAGGCTCATTTTTACTTATGGCTTTTTTCTTTTACCTTTTTTTTTTTATTATTGTTAGTCTTTTCGGAAGACAAAAAAGATTGGAAGTTCACAAGAGTAGGAGAGACAAGTTGTAGGGACTTTCTGGAAGACTCGCGTGACCGTAACTCCCACACCAACAAGGTCACTTTGCTATGTTTGGCAGGACACATGTTGGCTTTAGGAGTTGTTTTCCTGCTGGTTTCCCATGAATACATTGCATCTTTCACAAACACACAACTCAGGCGCACAGTGGGATTCAGTTTGGTTGAAGTTCACTTCGGGGACACATCAGTGTGGATACAACAGTGCAGACCAAAGACAAAAATACAGCAAATAGGAGGAAATATTTGGGGATCAACAACGATTCTTCCTTCCTCTGAGGGTTTTGCATTAGAAATAAAACATGACAAAGTAGAACAACAAAAGACCAAGAGAAAATATCAACACTGACTGTTTAAATATATTTCTGGAAAAAAATAGGCCTGACATAGTACATTAGATACACACTATTTGTATTATTGACAAAAACATACATGTAAACTGGCAGCATTCCTCACATTTAGGCCATCCAGACAGGTTTTGTTGTCTAGAAGCATGCTGCTACATTTTACAGAGAACAAAGTTGACACATTACATCCTTCACATTTCTTCATTCCTTAGAGAGGCTGCCTACTTTAACATGACAGTCCTGATGCTACAGCAGCAAAAATACTTGGAAAAAAACAACAACAGCATAAATGGTGTCTGGGTCGTACCCTTTAACAAGAGTGATTATTGAAATAGCTGCACTTAAACTCAGTCTTGCTTCCAAGGCTCAACCATTTGAAGAATCATGCTTTCAATATTTCATACATAGAAACAGTGAGAGTGGCACACATCTATTTTGTACTGTCATCAGAGACTGATTTGTGTCTTTTTTTAATGATTCAGGGGCCATAAACAGCACCAAAAAACTTCTGTGTAGTTCAGGAATCAAGAACTACTTTGCTCAATGCTAAAAACTGCAATGTTAATCTGATTTAACACTGGTTATACTGCATTTCTCAAGCAAAGAACACTGTGGGGTACCGTGAGAAACTCACTGTGACTGCTTTGTTTGTAATTTTGTACTAAATCAACATGAGCTCACAATTTGTCTAAAGAGCTGCTACACATGGGCATGTTTCATAACCAATAATGAAGCTATTGTGCGTATGTGATTGTATGCTATTAGAAATATTTAAACAATAAAGGGTCAGATTTTGCGATATCCAACAATACAGCAGTGCATTAAAGTTTGATGTGAAGATATTAGTATTAAATCTCCGCAGCTTTTAGTGTGATTGGAGGGATGCTGTGAAAGCTACAGCATCATTTCTTTTAAGCTTCTAATTAATGGTGTCTGAGGACCAAGTTTTTCCATTAGAGGGAGCCATTTGTACATAGATTTTAATGGTGATTGACAGATTTCATGGTATGGTATGCAAATTATTTTAAACACAGTGAAGAAATTTCGGTATTTGGAGCCATGTATACTAACAGTTTCACCAACATTACAATGAAGATAATGCCTAGATTCTCTTTAATCACATGTCTTCCATCAAGTAGGGACATTTTTTTGAGGTATTAACAAAAGGACAAAAGAAAAAAAAAAAGAAATAAAATACAACAATAAAAAAACAATGGTACAAAAAAAAATCATAATCAAAAGAAGCACAGCTGAGAATGGTCTTGTGTTATTGCCATCCAGTTTTTTGAACACAGTGATGTTGTTGTATTAGAAACACTGTGTTTGTTTCGATTCACCATGACTGTGAATATTTGTTCTTAAAAGGCTCCCTTGATGTTTGTTACAGCTGTAAAGGGTGATACAACTTTAAAAATCTCTACTCGACTGTTTCAACAGCCAAGTTAATAAAATCTTTAAATCTGTATTGCACTGCTTTAACACCCAAGGTGATGATGACGTAGCTGTGTTGTATTTATTTTAATTATTGCCTCTTACTCCCATACACTCTTATGTAGAGGGATTCCCTGTTTGTTGTGATCTCTTAAAAACAAGCTTAGACAGTGAGTGAACCTCTGACGTTTGGAAGAATAGCTGGTGCTTGTAAGGTGCAACATAGTCCCAGTTGTCCAGCTAACTCATGGGCCAGTTCTCTGGATGTTATTCCCCTGTACTTAGTTTTTTTCAGCAGGTATTTTGCAGAGGTTTGTGCGGCTGCTGATGCTCACACCGTTGGGCCTGAGGAAAAAGTCTTACTTCTGTTCTGGGTTGTTTGTTGAGTTCACAGGTAGGAATCAAAGAGCAGCCCTCTGAGTTCATTATGAGCTAATGGATTTGGCTGTCTCTGGCAGACCTTGGGGAAATTTTTGCACCCATCACAGGGTGGCTGTTCTCTCGTTTGTGGTTTATTGAGCCTATCGATCATTGTTTCAATCTCATGCCCTTTACTTTTTCCCCTCTCCTCTGTGTCTTGTCTTACCTTACTCTTAATCATAGATGCACACACACACACACAGACCTTTATAAACACACCGTATACACCTACACAGGAAACTCAGCGTGGAAAAGAAAGTTAATGGGCTGTATATACTGTGGGCTGTGGTTAAAGTGATGCTGTAGGAAAGGGATTATGATTTAAAATCTCTCATGCGTGGGCACACAAACTGCATTGGTGTTTTTATTTTCAACAAAACACAACACTTTCTGACTTCGTTTTCTGACTTAGTTTATGTTTAGCTTTTCTCATTAAGTCTCACAACCTTTTTCCACCCATAACTTTTACATTCAGTAGCAGAATCCTGATCTAAGTCCTTTACTTCCCATTCCGACATTGCACTTACTTGACCCTGAACATCTACATCTACGACACTTAACATTCATCAACTTGCTGTTCTCTTAACGTCATCCTAACCTACATTCCTCTTCTTTCTCCACTTCTGGTTCAGCATCTGTCTTATTTACATTCTTTTCTCCATCTCCTGGTACATGCAGTATAACAGTCCGACAACTTGCAGTAGCATTTTCAGAATAATCATAGTAAGAAAGGACCGGTCACTTTTTTAGAAGAGTGTCTATGAGGGATTTGGATCTTTATGATGTTAAGCGGATAAAGTGATTTGGTGACATCTGAGTCATGGCAGACTTTTTAAAGTCATACCTACTTTCTATGCTCTTTCAATGTAGAGCAAAATGTCTTTCCTAATCATTTTATGAATTGTTAAAAAAAACATCAAAAACCACTCCCTATTGATATTCAGAGTTTAAGTGAAAATACTCCCAATATTGAATCTTCTGCTTTGTGACAAGACACTTGAATGAAACAAGCATTTACCCCAATTCAGTCAATTATTGTAGAAAGGTGGGGTATCACAAAAAAAAAAAAAATCACCAACAATAAAGGTCAATAGCATCTGTGACCCAAGAGAAAAAGATTCATTTGTTTCATTTTAGTGAGTACTGCTTTGCACCTCCTCAGTGCTTTACTTTTAGACAATAGACTCAGGATAAACTTTGTTCTGTGAGCTGCCACAGGAAAACCCCAGATGGGATCTACAAATACTAAAAAAACCTGTTTGAATTCTTCCTGACAGCTAAAATAAGCCCAGGATTGTACACTACCTGCTGTGCACACTTTGATATCATACAGTAGTTGGTATTGCTCAGTGAGACATCATACTTAGGCTGTGCCAAAATTCACCTGGGACAGGGAGCATTTGTAGGTCTGCAATGCAAAGTGTGCTACAAGGACAAAATATCCAAATGTGAACTGAGTGATACTCCCTCTGGAAAAGTGCAGAAAATTAAAGACTTGGTGGAAGAATGCAAAGCCCTCCCAACTAATTTCCTCCATAGACCCCCTGTCATAAATCGTGCACAGTGCCTTACATGCCTCTTTGTTTCACGTCAATTATCATATCCACACACCACATAAAACCCTGCCAAGAATTTTGCTTACTTTCCTGCAGAAATTCCTTATCAACATTCCTCAAGAATACACCTGCTAATCCTTCACTCTCTCCAAACAACTGCCTCCATGTGCTGACCTCTTTACAATTCAATACCCTATTTCAGACTTACTTTTACCGTCAATAGAGCACATTCTTAAAGCCTCTGTTTCACATTCTGTCACCCTCTGCGCATTATTTCACCATTAAAATTAGACACCATACCAGCCATTTGAATCTCCTAGAAATATTTCATGACTTGAAGCTGCCATATTATGAGCATTCGTACTATTTGCCTTCCATATCTCCAAGCATTTCTCATCCTGACATGGCTTATGACGTGTTTTGTTGGTCATATCCATGCACATCCAGTTTGACTGAACATAGTGGTGACATTTTTTCCCCCCACAGTAGGTCACAAAAGCAGACAGCGTCCAGTAGCAGCAAGCATTGACATGACAACAACCAAAATCCCTGCAGCTCTCATGTAGAAGACTCAACTTCCCATCAGGCCGTTGCATATATTTATGTAACATTTCCCTGATTTAGAAACCCAGTGCAAGTCAAAACAATAAAAGGTTTCATCTAAACACTGAGTAAATGAAATACTACTGGTTGGTCCTGACTCCTTGTACCTTTTATATCTATATGCTGTTTTGAAATTTATCCGAAAATGGGGTGTAAAAATGTCTAAATTTCATACTTTGAATCATATAGGAAAAAATGTATCTGTTTTAAACCAAAGAGTCACAGCAGCAGTTACTTTTCTAATTCTTTTCAACTCTCAACCACTAGGTGGCAGTGTTGTAAACCATCTTTAGCTACTACACTGTTCTACTCTAGCGTAACACTAAAGAAAGGGGATTAATAACAAACTTATATAGCAAACGTTAGCACATTGGACAGCAGAAAGGATGGCTAGTAAAACAGGCAGAGCCATATAGGATACAGTCGTTCATCTTGCTTACAATACAACAATATTTTGAAACATATTCTATCTATTGTGATATGTATCGTATCAGAAAATTCTTGCCTATACAAAGCCCTTATTCAGACTCTCCTAAACCAGTACAACAGGTTTAAATTGTGGACTTTCCCCAAGTATCTCCTTTTCACAGGCACAGACATATCAAAGACGCACCATTGTGTCCTGTCTAAAGGACGTGTTAGAGGTTACCCACAGTATCTGTATCCATCCACCTCTACAGGGGTACACACACACACACACACACACACACACACACACACACACACACACACACACACACACACACACACACAAACAATGTAACCTTACATCTGTACATGACACCCACACACACAGGGGTTAAAACACAATCACACCACGACATTCACTCAGACGACTCAATTTTTTGGGGGCGATTCTTCCAAGGTGATGTGATAAAGCTAGCGAGTGGATAAGCTGCCAGACATCCTCAGAATAACAAGTGCTGCAGCTCAGAGGCTCCTCTAGCTTTGATGTTTGCCTTCAAACCTGGCTTTGTGCTGACAGCAGATGCTGAGTGAAGTACACACTACGGCTCCTTTTCCAGGTGACTGAGTTCAGATACACCCGAGGATTTAAAACACTACACAGTTGTTCATTTGTAGCCTCCAATGAGCTAGTGCAATATAATAAGTTGTTGCCTGATAGAGAAGAGAGAGGCTGTAGAGAGGGTGGAAGTCTCTCTCATTCATTCACTTATTTTCTTCTGGCTTGTAGATACTAATATTGCTTTCACAAGAGTCTGGAGTCAGACTCTAGCTTCTAATATGCTGCTATATGGCTGTTGTATGGCTCATCTTTCCAGGAAGAATATTTGTTTTCTTTTTCTTTTCTTTTTTTCATTCCCTTTTGTTTTATATGTCACTATTGAAGCAGGATCTCTATTATAAGCTTGATCAACTTTTTGAAGCAATTTAGGAATCCTGCTCTTTTTATCATCACTACCCTACAATGACAGTCCCCATCTTTTTGACATTATCATCACCACTTTGTTATTATTTGATCTTGTCTTTTGGGTACCAATGTCATCTTAGTTGTCTTCTATAGAATTGTCATATGGTGCATTGCAATTCTTGTCATCAAAATCCATGCTATATTCACACCAAAAAGAAAACAGAGCAAAATAGAAGAAAACCAAAATAATTGCTATTATTTTTCAGTCGGATATTCCTTTTAGATTATATTTATCCACACACTTTCTCTTATGCTCTCCATGCTCGGCTGACCTGGCCTGACCCAGGATCCCAGCGGCTATCTTTCCTCTCTGAGCTGTTTCATCTCACTTTGAGCTTTGGTTGACCTTGGCGATTAGCTTAGCCGCTCGGCAGATGGTAGGTGGAAAGCTGGCTGAGCCACACTGTCACCAACTTTAGGTCTCAAAAGAAGGAGCCCGGGGGGGTGGGGATTACGATGCCGAGTCAGCGCTGGGAATGAGTGAGTGGTGAATATACAGTAGAATAGATCAGACAGTGGGTACGCATATTGTCAGTGGAACAAAGAAGCTTTAAGCATGACAGAGAAATGAAGGAGACTGTGTTTTAGAAAGTCACAGGGGAGAGAGAGAGAGAGAGAGAGACAAACAGTTGAAGGGGGAGTCTGTAGTGGTTCCGGCCTGGACCCTGGTCTTTCTTTCTGTCGTGACAGATGAGGGGGGGACTCTCTTCTGAGGCCTTATTGGCTGCTGATGGACTGCTGACCCTTCATGCCTCAGCATCTTGTAGTGCACCGCTTAAATATGGCGGCCAATGAGGGCCATTTTCTCAACCACCCTCAAGGCATTTTGGGCGACTGTGTTCCCAGTGTCCCTGCGGCCCTGTGTCCCACCCTCAGTCTCCTGTGCTATGAGGCTTCAGCTTTGGGAGCTTCTTTCCGTCCATTCTTCAGGGTTGGAGAATCGGACGTCTTCACTGTTTTTCGAGGAGGACTCACTGGCTCACTGGTGAGCTCGTGTAGCGATGGCTCCTTGTACATTGCAACTGTGTGAAAATGACAGAAGCAGTTGGTCAGTAATTGTTACAAGATACTACAAGCATCCTGAGTCTCATGAAGTATCACAACAACAAGAGATAAAATTAACCTTCAGTCTCTGAGACAACATATTCAAAGCTTGTTATATTGGTTTAGATACCTGTTTAACTGTCTCCACACACCAAGCACAAGTAAAATCATTGAATTACATGTTAAGTTAATGCAAAGATGCTATTAGACGCTCCTACTACTCTGGCGGTGCGAATTGGGCAGATCTCAATTTGAGCGGATATTCGCGTCTCAATAACTAATCAGCACGAAGGTTGCCGGGTGATGTATGAAAACAGACGGTTGTTCACTGGTATCTAAAATGGAGGACAAACTGATCATGTCTGTGTGTGGGTGCCCCGGATTATATACCCTTTCTTTCAATTACCGAAACCAGAATAAAAAAAGAGCTCACCTTGAGGCAAGTGAGTGAGGAGGTCAGATTACCATTGAAATTACTGTTGACACGCGAATAAAGCGCGTAAATACTATACATTCACGTGTCTAGATTCGCGCAAATTAAGCGGGTAGATGGTTTTACTTGCGCTTCGTGTGAACGCCCCATAAGACTGTCTGGGTGTGGCCATTCACCACTGATTGACATCCTGCATCTCAAACAGCACTAAAATATCCTGTATATCCAAAATTGTGACCATTTGAAATCATTATTCTGTGAGTGATATGCTATCATATCACACAAGATTAATTATGTGTGATACCATAGGCACATATTGACAGGAATGTTATATTTGTTGATACCAATAATACACCTTTTAAGTTATCTGCCTTTGCCAATATTGTGTAGATCAAATGTGTATATCCCTACTTTTGATGCAACGCTAATTAAAGGCTGGCTTAATGATGTTCAGGAACCAAACAACCTCTGGAACAATAAACAACAACAATCAAAAGATATCAAGATATAATGAGTTGTATTTCATACCTGCAACCAAAAGTAAACAGTGACAACAGATCTGTAATCTCCACTCCAGTTGGCTCAGTACTTTTCTGTTGAGTTTTAAAAGGCAGTGCAGTGTGACTGCTCTTTTTGCAACCAATTCAAGAGTGTTCATATCAAATATATAGATTTATTTACAAAACCATCAGAAACCCCAAATCTGATTCAAATTTTGTTTAGAAACATGAATGATGAAATTTGGAATCCTGATTTGGTAGTACTTTTTAATACATTTGATGCAGTATACATTAATGCAATGATAAGACCCTTGACTATATAGTCAGAATACAATTTTGCATTTGGATTTTCAGTTGCTGAAATTAACGACACAAACCTTCTATAACTTTAGGCAGGAAGTGTGCTGCTCCTTTGGTCTTCTTGACCCGGTTGCCCTTCATAATTTGGCCATCACGGTTGATACCAATATACCAGGAGCGGCCAGACTGGGTCTGACGATAGAGCATGGAGGAGTATGTAACGTAGTAGTTCTCAAATACACTCTCCTTGAACTTACACTCTGGAGTGAAGTTCTCCTAAAAAGAAGCATGGAAAATGGGAGAGAGTAATCTGTATAATTGTGTAATCTGAAAACTGGGGGGAAAATGCATGGACACAACATTGAGATACATTAATTAGGTGACTTTTCCTGAGGGAAGGATAGATAGAATTACATCTGGTCTTTGAAAGCATGAACATCATATCCCTTTGGGACCACTGAGACAAGGAAGCATTCTCTACATGGAGAAATATCATTAACATCTACAGCATGCCACACATAACGAATTCCCAAAGGAAGAGAGCAAAGAAGATAAAAGCAACGAAACACTGACACCTACGTGGATACAATAACAGATTTAATCTATGTATACTTTACATTCATAATACATAGATATAAGTACACATGAAGTTCACTGCATATTAATAACTAACCCTGACATGCAGCAGTGACTGCTTCAAAAGTTTCCCAAGATCACATATCTGACTTGTCAGTCTGTAATTGATGTTTTTGGGCAGAAATAAATATTTAGTCCGGCATTTATCAACAAAATCCCCAAAACTAGGATCTGTAATTATGATTTGTGAATTATGCAATTACATTAAACTACCGTGTATTATGGCTGCATGTGCCATAAGTTCAGTGGATCTCAAGAGGGCATTTTTCTATTACTCTGTATTTGATGAAGAATTAGACGGCACCTTTGAGCTGCGTCTTCGTGTTGATTTTGGCTGCCCCTGTCTTTTTGCAGATACTGTTTGCATACATGTTTATAGTATTTTCTAAAAACCTTGTCCGGCTTTTTTTTTTAACTGTCTGCTGTACTGCTATTTGTGAAATACGATCAAAGGCTCCTACTGTTTGCATGCTGTTATGCTCTTGGTTGGACATTTGGAATAACAATATACGTTTCTTGAATTAACGTCACTTTGGATAAAGGGGTCTGCTAAATGACATTATAACATTGTAACAACAAAGATACCATCAGTCTTTTAACTGGTGTTCTGTATTGCTTTTGTACATATAGAGGTATAAGTAGGAAATTTAAGGTTGTTTTCCAGCCAGTTAAAGGGACATTCTGACGTATATTTAAGTTATTGTCAAGCACACCGTAACACTGAGTTAGACACCCCCGCGAGGGATGAATGTTGCTGACTGCTTGCTTCTCTAGTTACACCAACTTCAGCAACGATCGTACAACAGCAATACACAGCGGTCTATGTCTCCACGTGTAAACCTCAAACAAAAAGCCACTCTATCACCACAAATAATGCTCAGAACAGCACCTCACTTCATCAACAGTACATATAGGGTCCCAGCCATGGTACTAGCCATCGAACATCTTTTAGCTTTGCCTGATTTCTTAAGCAAAGAGACTAAACACAACTCACCCACTCTCTTACAGCAGCCACTTGTTTGGGACGTGGCCCTTACGGGTCGATAACCATGTGCAGCAGAGTTACGCAGCTCAAGGAAGAACATTTATTATTATTACTTCATGGAAATGCAATTAGGCCGAGACGCTAAGGCAGAAGGACTACCGCGTCTGCAGTGCAAAATGATTGTTAGAATGATTATTACTTCATGGAAATGATCCGTTGCACTCGGTGATGGACTCTTTAAGGCTCCGTCTCAAACAAGCGACTGTGTTACGGTGTGTTTGGCCATAGGTTTAGGGTTAGGGTGAGGGTAAATAAAAAGTTAGGTAAGTAGTCATTCCAGATATATATATTTATTTAGTTATTTAAAAAAGCCTTTTGTGTGTGTGTGTGTGTGTGTGTGTGTGTGTGCACATGTCCCTGTTAAGAATTATAAACATCAAATATTTGTGTTACAAATGTACTTGAATTACTATCAAATTTATAGATTTGCTCAACGAGGTTGATAATCTAGAGGTAAATAAGCATATTGTCTCAACTTCTAACATTTTCTAACAATATGTGTTTTGGTAGAACACAGACTTTTCATCAGTCAGCTTATTTAAAAGGGAATTAGACTGTAATGTGGAACTCCTCATAACTCAAAATCATCAAAGATATGTGAGTAAGGGCTGTTAAAGGAGGGTGCTGTCACAGGCTGAAAAGATTGGGCGCCACTTAATTTTAAGTTTTTCTTTTCTTTTTTAGTTGTTTGAAGTTCTATTGTTCATGTAAAATGAAAAGTAACATTCATCCCCCTTCAGTCCCCCAGAAGAGAGTTAGCCCTTTAAAATAAGTTGCTCTCATATCCTGTCACTTGTCTGTGACTGGTTTAATCTAAATGGACATTTCAGAATCAAATTAGCTAAACTTGGACCTTATCCAGTCGTATACCCAGGCTGTAAATGATCATGTTCCAGCTGCACTTCTCTTCCGTCTGTGTCCTCAACATAAGGACTACTGAACCCTGCATAATGTTGACCGCTGATATTAACCAAAAGTGACAGATATACATCTCTTTTAGTCTCCGTCAGGGTCTTGACAGGGTCCTTCCCCTGTCAGAGAGCACAGCCAATCTGCCGGATTGATTAAGTGAGAGCAGCAGGGCAGAAATGGCTGAGTGGAGAATTTCTCTGAGACTCTGGACGACAGAAGAGGGCTGAAGGATCACAACTTGGCAAAGACGAGCTTTAATATGGAGCCAAAAGTAGATTGAGAAGGTATAAGAGACCTCCAGTTTCACACTTATCACAGATCATCACCTTTCTCCTTCAGCCGAGAAGCTGAGAAGGCAATTCAGGACTCTGTGCCCTTTCTCCATCCACTCCTCCTCCACTGCTCTGCCACAGTTTATGCTCTTTTAACTGCTGACCATAAACACAACAAGCCCCCACCCTTAACCCAACAAATTCTCCCACTATCCCCACCGTATCACAGGGCTATTTTGAGACCCTCTGACAGGTTTGATGTCTTCTGCTGTGCTAACACAAAAAGGATAGGATCGATAGATGATCTGCTTCATTCATTATTAATCAGGCTGGAGAGCAAGAGGGCTGGGAAGTGCGGGGGACAGGTAAGAGAAACAGGAAAGGGAGCCCAAGATCACTGGGAGAGGACAGAGAGGTTGCTGGGTAATAAGGGAGATTAAGAAGAGACAGCGTCTTTGCATCTCCCCTGAGGACTGAAGCGTGAATGCAGGCCTGACGAGAGCTTAAGTCGCAAGCACCCCGCTATCAGACTCTCATGTCCCTCGGGAAAGAGAAGCCATCAGTCCAACAAAGTACCCTTCAGCTCAACCTCTGCAATGACACCAGTGATAACCCCTCTCCCTAGTCATCCTATAATTACCCTTCATAATCATTCCCCTGAAAGAAGCCTAATGATAGAAGCCACATCTTCTGCGTTTCATTCAAGAACTCTCCAAAGGTCTGAGGGACAGAAATTACACAGAGAGCCGGCATGAGGATGAAGTAAATGCCCTTAAAATCTTATTCAGACGGACCCCCCCCCCTCCCCAAAATAAATAAATAAAAAAATAAAAAAATAAAAAAATAATAATAATATTTTCTTATGATGGCCACTTTATTACTCAAAATTTTGCAACAAAGAAGCCAATTTTTTTACAAAATAAGCACAGACAAATTAAGTCTCCTCCATCAAAGGGATATTCCAGCATAGAATTATTTTATGGTCAAACACACCATAACAACGAGTTAGACACCCCCTCGAGAGATGAATGTTGCAGACTGCTTGCTTCTCAAGTTACACCAACTTTAGTAACGACCCCAGGATAGCAATACACAGCGGTCTGAGGAGCCATAAACAAACCTCAACCAAAAAGCCACTCTATAGCCACAAATGATGCTCATGACAGCACCTAACTTCATCAACAGTACATATAGGGTCCCAGCCATAGTACTAGCCATCAAACATCTTTTTAGCTTTGCCTGGTTTCTTTAGCATAGAGCCCAAACACAACTCACCTACACTCCTCCGGCAGCTGCTTGTTTGTAGCAAGACCTAGGGCCAGTCCATTACGGACTGCTGCAGGGTGACACAGCTTAAGGAAGAACATTTACATTAGCACTAAATGAAGCGGCCTAAAATTACAACCTGTGAATCTTTGATGCCATTGATTGTGACTATAGACTGTATAAAGAATGGACAGCGTCTGCCTCCTAGCTGGGTGAAGCAACTCCAAAAACAGCACCCTCTGTTGATGGGCTGCAGTATAGGTCATAAATCCCGCCTCCTCCAGCAATCCCTATGGCGCTGTGGACAAACTTTGGAAATTTATTACACAGAATATAAATTTTTCTCCCCTCTGCTTGTGATGTTGACATGTAGTTACTGTATGACTGGTTTGTGATCAAGTCCTCTTTTTTCTGTGCAGCTCCATTTTTAAATGTCATTAGGGGGTTCATGTTTTCTATGATTGACACCTGATACAGCTAATGGACGTACGAAGATTGCGTAGCTGGCCTGGGGATATGCTGTTTGAGCCGAGCGTCATCAAAGCGACTCTCGGCAACTCCCCCACCGAATGTGTACAATGTTACTGTGCAATGTTGGTTTCAGGAAGTGGAGAAAAAACCCAGAAATATAGAGAACTTTTTGGCTTCAGATTCGTATACTGGCGGAAGACAGAGCCATGTTGTCCATAGTTATTACAGTCTATGATTGTGACTGAGCTGAGATATTACTTTGATGTCAAGTTCAGGTTAGTTACCACACTACATAATAAAACAAAATCATCCATTCTGCATTAATACTAGTCATGTTTAAAGCCATTAGAAAACATGGCTTGGATTGGTGGTATATTTAAGAGACACATCTAAAGGTGTCTTATCGCTCAATAAAAGCCTGTAAGTAATTGCACAATTAATTTACTTGTAGTAACAGATAAGGGTGTGATGCGATCTAGTGCCAAGAGTCCCTAGGATACAAAAGCCTGATGATGCTTCTTGTTGAGGTGTTTAGCTGTTTTACAAGATTAGGACACCATTTTCTGATGATGAAACTCATTGGGGACTTTGCCATTTTTAACTGAAATCATGACATTAAGCAGATGCAGTAGCTGCACTGTCATACCGAGGATGACCCTTTCACAGCACTTACATGTTGTTTTGTCTTTTACTGAATTTGGTCATTCACACTGACAAAGTAGAACTGTACTCATAGTCAAAATAAACACCTGGAGTAATACATTACGGCTTTCCCATCAAAGTAGTCATTAATTGCGTCCCAAGTGCAAAACTCAAGGTACTACCAAATTCTGAGTTGATAAAGCTTGTCCTAAATGATAGGAGTATGTTGCTAAATTTATCTCCGTCCCTAACCTGGAGGTAACCTCTTTGCCCCAGGAAGTGAAGAGACTGCACTGAGTTATTGACTGAGGATACCACTCAAACCACCAGATTTACCTGCAAAAGATGAATAATGGTTGAGAATTCATCGAGGGTAGCTCATTTTTAAGAGTGATGGCGGAAAATTTCCATCTAAATGGTGGCTGCTTGGACCCGAAATTAAATAAAACCTCTTTCCTCAACCGTGACTTATTGGGAGGACTTGGGTAGCTTCCCCTCCATGTGTCTCAAGCCAAAAATGAATTTCAATGAAAGCAGACGCGAAAGGTAATATGTAGCATCCGTGCTGAGAATCCCCAAGATGGCAGGAACCTTTTTATGATGCAGAGCAGTGCTCCGACCCAACAACCCCCCCTTTCCCCTCCGCCCACACACACCACCTCCCTCCCTTCACATCCCTCGTGTCTGATTACATCGATTCCACCTGCTTCAGGAGGCTTAACTCTCTATGCCACCATACACTGGGATTACACTTACCACCAAATAAGGACATTGAAGTACTAATAATACACACTCGCAGGGCAGAGTTCTCTAAACTGCAGTGCCTTTCCCCCCTGCATATAATTAGAATATAAAAACAGGGATGACAGTTTTGACTAAAAATAACATTGACTTCATGAATAATATTAAATATCTTGTTTACTTTCATTTCATCATGCATGCACAAGCATGAAATGAGAACTAATGCCCCTGAACATGTGGCTCCTGCTTCTCGAATTCGAAACATCTTTGACATGCAATTATTTGCAGTCCCCTGTTTAGACAGCAGGGGTCACAGTGTCATAGAGGCTTCCCTGCATCTATTGACTGTCCCGTCAGCTCCCAGTGTAACCTATGGGAAGCTGGGAAATCTGCCCAGCTGCTGCAATCCCACCACATTTTCCACCGTTCTGCATTAACACTGCAGCAACCCACGCACACGACAACATTAAATCTGAAGCTCATTCACAACAAGGACTCGTTACATCCGCACTCACTCTTAATCTGTGCGTGCACGTGTGTATGTATGTGCAAACCACCAGCAGATCATGTTGCTGATGCTGCTGCAGGGCCAGATGTGGATGCTCTATGACACATCATGTTACATAAGTCAATAAGGGCATAGACATGCTTATTAAGAGGGCTTTCCAGAGGATGAGATTGGCAGTTAATTCTGTCTAGCAGCTCACATGTATGGTCTGTCTCTAAAGCTTTATGATAGCCCCAGGGAGGCATGACGCTGGCATGACAACAGCAGAGGGGATTATAACGTGCATGGACGCATGTCTCTGTAGTGTTGATGTCGACTGACAGCTGGAAGACCCCTATCATTATAATGTAGCCGTTGACTTTCCCTCTTTGACCTCCAGTGACAGAGGTGACCGCTTAAATCACTGTGCTTTTAAATTTTCAAGGTAAGAAAGGACACAGAAAGTGGTGATTCAGTGTGAATCCTCGTCATCATCATCATCATCATCATGAGACTTACTTCAAACATATCCCTGAGACATTTTTGGAAGGAGAGCGCAGGTACAAGGTGTATCATGAGTCCATCAGAAAGAATAAGGTTTTGCTTTCCCTAAGTGCATAATTGGCTGCCCGGCAGAGTGTCCGTCTTTATCATTACATTTCTGCACTTCATCTCTTTTCTCTTCCTCTGGCCAATTATTCTCTAAGCTGCTTTTTCTAATGTCCACTTTTTATCCTGTCCTGTGATAAAAGAGCGATGCAATCTCGGCTGGCGGTGTCCTGCATCCCAATGCAAACCCTCCCGTGAAAGAATAGAAAGGACGTTTTTTGTCAATAGATCTCTCATTTTCTCCTTTTCTCCTTCTCATGTGTTGCTCTGTCTCTTTCGTGCTATCAAACACAAAATCAAATTTCTTCATCAACTGAAGCATTTCTTTTTCAATTGTCCTTCATGCATTTCTTTAACGGATTAAAGGCACTTATAAACTGTGCTGTCTCAGGAGAGAGCTGTAAACTGTTTGAAAAACTGGGATGAAACCTTTGATTGATACAAAAAAGGTTGTCCCAGTTTTCATTTTGAGTAACGTCCTCAATGGTGGATTTTTTAGCTTTGGCAATCAAAGACAGCCGGCAACCAAATCCTCACAGTTTAAGTGATGCCAAAACGTTTATAAAAATCATCCAGAGCACTGTTGGTGCTCAAGAAACCCTTTTATTGAGCACAGGAGTGGTTGGCAATATGTTTGAATACATGTTTTCGTCTTGAAAGTATTGATTGGACTCTGATTTATATGTGCTCTTGATAAGAGGGTCATGAACGCATTTATGTACATTGAAAATGGACGATGTTTATGTAGCACCTTCATTAGTCGTCTCACCATGCAAGCACTTTGACATTACATACTACATTCACCCATTCACACAACAGTCTACTAGGGGCTGGGCTGCTATTCAAGGTGCCATTAGTGTCTAGCCTCCTGCCCAAAGACACTACAGCTTGTGCACATCCAGGTGCACATCTCCCAACCTTCTGACTCGACTACTGGTGCGTTCATCCTGATATGAGTCTTATCTGACTTTTTTGTTATCCCTTGTGGTTAAATGATGATCCCTTATGTGTTGAAATTAGTGCTTAATTTTGGTGGCTTTTAATTTTTTGAAGGCTTAAGTTGACCAAAACAAAACTTATGTTGAGTTTTAAACCTGCAGCGAAAGAAAATCATTTAAACACAGATTACACTGCCACCAGAAACTGAGGTACATGCACCACAACAAAAAAGTACCTGTATTTACCTGTATTTATCTGTATATATATGTGTGTTAGCTTTTGGCTTGTTTTATGTGCAGTTGACTGATAGATAAAAATGTTGTTGGTGAAACTGTCTGATTGGTAAAAATATCAAACACAAATTACAACATCAAACATCTGAACATCTTTAAAACTTATACATCTGTGTGAGACAGCCACAAAGATTACTCCTGTACAAGAGGGAGGAGCAAAATGGTTGGCTGGAGTGTAGTATATGCATGTGAACTGACACAGCCAACATGGCATCACATGGAATCAGAGTCCCCCACAAGTTTCTCAAGATAAGGTTAAGAAATTTAAGTGACAGGAAGAGGGAAGACTCTGCTGCTTCTGCTTGCTTTGTTGATGAAAATAAACCTTGAAACAACAATGAACATAAACGCCTTATGGGATACCATTGGGTATGACATTACTACAAATAATTAGATAGCTCCATAACCCAACATATCTCGAAATACTCATGATTTATAATATCAACACAGGTTTCTCTTCCCCTCTGTTGGTGCTGCAGATTGACAAAGTAACATTCATGTTAATATTTAGTATGAAGAAGGTAATGCCAATAATACTGCATTGTACACTACTGAGCAACCCGGGATCACTGCAGGGGAAATTCTGTCACATTAAAACTGGACTGTATGATTCCACCCTCCTGATATGCAACTTTTTAACGAGCTACATATAATCGGCTTAGTGTGCTCTGTCTCCCAATTGAGTGGTGGAAAGTATTATAGTGCAAATTTGAAGAAGCCTCCCTGTACTCCTCCGTTGCTGTGTATTCTGCTTTTTATTGTTCTATCTACACGACTGCTGAAAGGGAGAAAATGTGTACCTTTTACTCCTGTTTCTAATCTTCAGTTCACCTATGAGTCGCTTTTATTTTTGCTTTAATCCCTGCGAATGTGCTCACAATTCACTTCCCAAAGAGCCACACAGCGGCATTTCATTATTCAAGAGTGTGATGAACTATTTTAAACAGCAATTAAATAGGCTAAGCCCAATACGGCTTTGAAAAGTGTTAAGCTGTGGTGAATAATTCATGCTCAATTTTGACTGTTTTCTATATTTTAACCATCAGACAACTCAACTTGTTTGAATTTAAAATTTCCTTTTATTTGAAATAATTTGCTGTGTGGGAAAAATATAAACTGAAACAGAAGAGAGATTATCCTGCCATGTGTTTTATGTTAAACAATATGCATTCCTTTCACTTAATTTTGCGACAAAACTCTCTGTAGAGCCAACTGTAGGGGAAGAAACACAACAAACAACAAAAAATTGCATCAAATTTAATCATCTGTACTATGTAAAACTTAGTCAATTTAAAATACACCTCAAACTCCATCTCTGACGAATCATTTCCTGATCATTCTGACATACTTCAAAAATGATTTTGGATGTCTGACGCAGAGTAAAAGAATGATACTGGTTGTGTGTGAGGACATTAAAAATGCACACTAACCTCTGAATGAGGTCACCCAATATTCAGAGTAAGAAGCAAAACCCATGTGTAAACCCTTACAGGCACAGAATCTGTTTCTGTGAAAACTTGCCTGTCAACACCATCCTCATGTCAGCCTCTTTCTCTCTATTACTCGCTCTCTCTGTGTCTATGAGGAGTTTTCCAGAGCACATAGATTATAAAATGGGGCACGAATGAGCCAGGCTCTATTTTTAAAACAGGATCAGCCATTTTCTGTTGTCACCTACAGGTAGCAAGGCTGAGATTTATGTCTACAACATGGTAGCAGTGAACTTAACTGGCTTGTTACAGGGACTGGCCTTTACAAAGTGACCACTAAATCAGTATTAGGTAAGCTCGAGAGAAAAGCTGTGAGATTTTAAGAGGAAAATAACATCGCAAACGGAGAGCATGAAGCATGCAGCAAGATGAAAAAATAGCTGAAGGGATGGGACTTGTCACTCTGTCAGTCACCCCAGCTCCTCTGTGAGTGACAGCGATGGGCTTATTTATCATAAATGGAAACATCTCTTTTCATCGCCATGCGCACTCATGGCAAGCTTTTCATGTAAAGACAACTAGAAGTGTGATATATATACACAAAGTAGGACTATATTATACCATCTGCACAAGCAAACCGGCACATCTGATACACAGAGGAGGGTCATAAAAATCAAATGCACATGATATAACAAGACAACAGCTGCTCTGTTGTGCAGTACCTATATCACCTCATCCTCCAACTGTATGTGTGTGTGTGAGAGTGTGAGAGGAAACTCTCTGAAAGAGGTCAGCGTGAGATGCAGTAGCGCTATTGACTGGTGCTGAGGAAATCCCTTCTCCTCTCTGTTCACAGAAGCAGGGTGCAGAAGTCTCCTGCATGCTAATCAGGAGCTCAGAGGATAATAGGAGAAAGCATATGTGCCATAAGTTAGGATTTAACTCTCATATGTACAGATGATGCGTCCTTCTTTACATCTCATATGCATAAAAATGCTTTTGCGCTCTCTGATTTTGCATTCATTGTGGCACATAATATGCTGAAACCAACATACAGCTTACCACCGAAGAGAAAAACATGCAGCATAGTTCCAGAGAGCTGGGATATCATTCATCTTTTTACATGATGGTCCAGCTTAGATTGCAGTTCTAAAAAAAGACTATGTTTTAATAAAAAGTGCACACATAGAAGCTCTTTACCACAATAATGGTGAAAACAATGTTACTATAGCTGTGTGTTTGTGCTTGTAGCTTTATTATTATGGTTCTATAATCTGAAGGAAAAAAGCAGCCACAATAATCTTTTAGATAATGAGATATTGCTGTGATAGTTGTTTTTTTATACATCACATTTGTGCCATCACATTTCACAAGACATTGTGAAAACAAAAAGTTACAAAATAGGATCTAAAAACCAAACCATTAAAGAAGGAATGTAACCTTTTTTCTCTTTTTTTATTTAACAAAATTTGTGAGAACAAAAGTGTCTTGATACATTTGTGGACATGTGATGGTATAAACGAGTACAACTTAGTTTTAACGTCAGCTACAACAGAGCAGAGCAGAGAGTAGTGGGAACTACAAAGACCATTGTTCCATGTGTGCCTGTCATCCTTTGAGCTCTGCTTGCTGTGTCAGATCAAAATGGTGAAAATGGTGGACACCAACATCAGCGGCAATGACAAAAACACAGAAGATTATGAAATTGTGGTGCACGAGCACGTGGAAGTATTTAGCTTTCGGACAAACCAAAACATTAAGCAGATACTGCCAGACGCTACTTAACAAACCGTCAACCCGAACGAACTCAAGAACATGCAAGAAAAAAATCCAGCTATGATGAAAGACTAAAGGAAGTCTTCAGAGCGTCACTTCCCCACAACGGTGCAAGAGCTCAAGAGATAACAAAATGTATAACTGGGTACATACAGCCAAAGACATGTGGACAATTTGTGTAGTTTAGAGGGCACGTAAACATACTAGAGCCTAAGTGTAATTTTCCATCACAGCCACACTGAAGTCAAACACTTTTACTCGTTCACTCCAATAAGACAAAGGCTAAAGTTACGTAGAGCCTCAAGCAAGACGCGCATCTCACTCACTAGAGATAAGTGTGATTCATGAGATACCAGGGCCTGAATAAATAACTTTTTTTTTTCTGAGACACTGCCTTTATTTTTCTTTCAAAATATTTAGATGGACTTGTTGCCATATTGTAAAATTGTGAGGTTTTTGTATCATCACATCCCACATAGCCATGTCTATTCACATTACAGATATTTCAGCCCAAAACAGTTTTTGTTGGGCTGTAAAAGAGTTTTGCTTTTGCATCTTTGCCTTTATAATTTACAGCCAAGACTTGCATTATAATCACAATAGACCTAAATATAAATCACAGGCTTGTATTGTCTGTTGTTTTTTTAATCATATAGATATGGTGAATTAATTAAACATGGTTATCATTTAAGAAGTGATGTGAATGCTGTCCAAGGTGCTGAAAGACTTGCCCTCTTTGAGATTCACTGGCTGACCTGATCAGTTTGAACACTTTCATTATGATAAAAGAAATAGCTTTAGAGGATGACAAGCATTTTGGCAAGATCATCACACTACAGAATTGGTGCAAGCGCTGTCCAAGGTGCTGATCAGACGATGTACTTTCTGTAGCGCTGTCCAAGGTAGTAATCATTATTTTGTACAGTCTGTTCAGTCAACGTGCTGGCATTTCCCAAAGAGAAGGGCTTTATTTTAAAATCAGCCACTCAAGAAGACAATGTTTGTTGTGGTACTGGGTAAGGGGGTGTATTGCACTCAGAAATTGTCCATTTTGTCTGGTGTAGACCCTAAGTAAAACTGTGCTCCTCTGTAGTAAAAGTGTTTCCCCCCCTTGTTCAATTAGACTTAAGTTTGGATCCACTTTGTTCCCCTTCTGTCTTTTACTTTCCTGCCATGATTTTGCTTTATAGTATGATCAACCAGGTCAGAAAATTATTGGTAGCTTGTTCAGTGTTGGCTGATGTAACTAAATCAAAACAAATAAAATTATTCTCCGTATCTGCACTCCCAAAGTCTTGATGATTCAATGAACCGATATCTCACGGGTTGATGTGCACCTCTCTGTACTATTTGCAGTCTGTCTATCATCGCCCATGTAAGAAAATCAGTGTAATTAAACACATGTAAGAAATACTCAACACCTTAAAGCCACTGTAGTGGAAATCTCAACCCATGTAGTGACAACATCTGTCTGTAGCCAAATTGACTTTCAGAATTTTTCTTTTTATTCCATATCTAATGCAGATCACAATCTAATTGACATTTTGTTTCCATGTCATCAAAACGTGACATATTGAATAGTTTTGCTGTTCAAAAAGCTTAAGCAAAAATGGTGCCTTTTCTGGTTTGTTCAAAGGGGTGTTACCTTAGCAGCCAACATCAGTCCATTTGACAGCCATTACTTTTTCTTGTTGTTAGAGTGACTATGCAAAACAGTCTGAGGAGCAATGAGTTGTGCTTCTGCATCTCATTGGCCCATTTTTGGCTTTTTATTCATTGAGAAAGAAAAAAATACAAACTTTTTTTCCCTGTAATGATTTCAATGTACACACAGCACCAGCCTAATATAGTAAGCTGAATACTAATGAAGTGCTGAGGCAAATCAGGGTGAATACAAAATCCCAAATGCTATCATATCTTAAAAATATCTTGGATGAACTGTTAGAGGACTATTTTTGTTGTTTTGTTCATTTGGTTGTTTTGTACCATAGATTATTTACTATACTCTACACTGTTTACACATTTAAACATACATGAAATGAACATATATTTACAGTTTCAGTATCCCTTATGCTACTAGTACAAAGTGTCCTCCCTCAGTAGTTTATGACACTTCAGACCGTGAATGGCGCTTGGATCTATATCATAGTAATACTCTGACAGGAAAGAGACACTGAGCTGAAGTCCATATGACAGAAGGCTCAACCTCCAAATTCAATATGACAGTAGATGATAAAGCCCTGATTAGCATTCCCTTTGTTGATTTCCATATCAGTGATGTGGACAGCTCCTCTAAAGTGCAGATGAGCATTTGCAACAAGACATTAAGCGTACATCCCTACCTGAATATGTATTTTCAGTTAGGGACATATGCAGAAGCACTTCTCCAGAGGGATTTGTTTCTTCTATGTAAACTTCCATGTGTCTGAGGGGCATACTTACCGAGGTATATAGGTATCCATCGCTATTCATGGCCAGGTATAACCCTGTCTTTGCCCCCTGGATTGCCACAATCCGCAGTCCCACTGGAATTAAGTTGAACTGTGCTAAATTGCGGGAATAAAGTAGCAGAGATAAGACATGACAAAGAGAGAGAAAAAAAGAGAGTCAGAGAAGATTGTGAAATCCAGCTGCAACACAGACTGCTATTCTGTCTTCGCTCTATAAGGCTGCAGTGTCACTGCAGCATGCTATATCTCTTTCTAAGCCGAAATAGTGTGACCTCCCAGAGTTTATGTTGATGTAAACACAACACCATGTCACCTTCACTGTGCTTCACATTGCCTATAAACCGAGATAATAATAGAGAGGTTTCCCCAAGCTTAAGCGAAAATAGTGTAGGAGAACTGATACAGAGTCTGGGTTTTTTAAACTCTTGCGGCCCTATAACTAAAAACTTGAGCTCATCTAAAGTAGACTGATAAAGAGACAGGACTGAAAATATCTGTCACATTAGAGCTATCTTAAAAAGGGCCGATATCTGAGTCTGAAAGGTCAAACAGGCAAGTACTGAGAAATGATACAAGATAGAGGGCACTGCTGGCCTTGAACCCACATTAAGATTGTTAAAGGTCAGAGTGAACATTCACGTCATCTTAATGGTGCCAGTTTGTCACTTAGAAGTGCTTGGACATCTCACAGTGGTCTCGGTTCCTGTGATTTATCAACTTATCAACTTACAATTCTTAATTGCATTACAAGTTGAAAGATTACATTTACTGTAAACTTGTGACAGAGAAATGTGGCCTCCAAGTAACAAAAGATTTCTGCTCATCTAAGTAAATATTCAGTTGCTAAAGCTTGAAGGTCACTTAAGCAGGATGTTTCTGACTATTTAAAGGCAGAAATTGTACAAATAGAGTACCTTAAGTGGACAAAATTGGAGTTTAGCTTTTGCTCCTTAGTTGTTGACACAAACTGTAGTTGCTCTGTTCAGCTCATTGCTTACAGTACAAGATCAACTCTGCCACAGTCAGAGATTTGACTTCCAATCAGTGTATAAGCTGTTTGATATTTGAGTAGAGTGATGGTAAAGTCTGCAGGTGTTGCACACATTTAATACAGTCTGACTTATATCCCGTTGCTCAAGCTCTGCCACAGACTAGACTGTGAATAATTTGATTAAAAATTACACAACACCGACACGAGCAAATACATGTAGACTATAGACAGACACACACACACAAACACACACTCACAAAATGAGCTGCTTTCATCCCTTGTGCTGTCCATTGTGCCGTCAGGCTGCATCTGCAGGTAGTATCCATGCTGGCTGTATAGGCGCGTAACAATGCCCTTCAGCTGTGGCTCTGCAAGAGAGCACAGGAAACAACATTGTGTCAGACAGGAGACTCTGCCAGAGGTGGAGAGCAGACATACACAAAAAATACACAACCTGGAAAAGAAGAGGGTTAGACAAATACATCGGAGTTGAAAGATACTGACCACAGGGGTGTTTCCTGTGTGCAAGTTAGGACATGGCTTTTAAACAACATAAAAAATAGTTAACCAGTTTTTCTTCTACCGATGGATTACTTTTAAAATTTGGACAGACATCCACAATCCACAGTGGATGAATCCACATTTTTACTTATGACAGGATCTATGTGCTGGCTCATAGGTAGGCAAGACCCTTAGCTAAGTTCTGTAGACCGCTAGTAATCAGAATTTAAGCCTGGTCAGAAAAAAGGCATTGTTTCTTGACATGACCACTCTCCCTGTTTTTTTAAGCAGAATAGGATGAAACATTCAAACATGAGCAAAGCAAAACTGGTTTGTGGCTGACATAACTACAATGTTTCCCAGAATGAGGGTCTACTTGGGGTAGAGGGGGGGCAGGGTAGTCATTGTATGTATCCAAGAAATAAACCCATTGATTTGTACAAAAATTACTCGAACACTTTACTTCACAAACACATTTTCCTGCAATTCAAATAAATTTGAAATATTTCTTTGTTTTAAGCAAAAGTATATACATTAAAGCCATTAAACACATAATTAATTATGTGCACCATTGAGAGTGCAGAAGTCCCTCTAAGAGTTTTTATTTATTTATTTTCATTTAAGAAATCTCTATACAGTATCCATCCATAAACTTTTTATATCAGTAATAAATGCATTTGTTCAGGTACATTTGGAAACATGACCTTCATTAGTTCTTATGTTTATGCACTCTTATAAAAAGATTCACTCCAATTCAGTTATCAACTTTTTGAAGGAAGATTAATGACCGAGCAAACTAAGAGAGTGCATAACAACGTCCTCGGCAACAAGCTGCTGATTCATATTTACATGAACACGAGACATTGTTCTGCAGTCAATTCATTTAATGGGTTGAAACAACCCATTATAAAATATAGACACTACTGCTACTTATTCACATACACAGGGGGTGCAGTGTTGTGTTGAGAAACAGTGGAAAAGACAGACACGGTCGAAAAGTACGGTGATGGTGAAATATAATTATAGACGCCTCATGAGGTGCAGTGCAAAAATACTTACAAAAAGATGAAAAAATGGTCAAAATAGCCTACTAGTTACACAAAAATGTACAAGGCAAGATAAACAATGCCAACAAGGCAAGAGTTCTTCCATAACTCGCAATTCAGCAACACAGCAGTAGGCTAACACACAAAAAAAGCCAGTCTTGCAGTTACCTTCTTTGCCACCAACTCCACAGTCCAAGAAAAGCCCAGGCAGCCTTTTTGTAAACCCCCTAGCCCCTCTCCTGGGCATATCCATGATGAAATTATAGGGTTTTAAGATACCATATGCAAATTCCAACACAAACTCCTCAATAAATCAGACATTCCATCAGTAACAAAAAAGGCACTAATAACCCTCCATATACCGCTATGACCTCACCCCTTGAAAATTCTGTAAATCATAAAAATGATCACAAATTAACTATACTGGTATGGTCCGGCGGTCACATGACCCTCCAAAACGCGCCACCTTGCACTATTTAATGATGAATCAGGAAGTACTCAGGTTTGACTCATAAGATGGCAGCAGGTAACCAGGTGTATGTGTGTGTGGCGTGTAGTGGCCGAGTGTGCACCTTCTAATGCCAACGGCGGGGAGAAAAGAATCAAGACAAAAAGGGAAACAACTGGTTGGAGTGCAGGATTGCGGGACACAGGTGCGGGGAGACAGTTGAACAGTTTGGCGGAGTTTAGCTCCGCGGGGAACGAGTGCGCTCCATGCGCGTTCCCGGCACCGGCACTCTCAGGCCCCGCGAGACAGACCCGCGCCATTCGGGGAATGACGGCGCTTAACCACGCTCCGTCACATGATGTAAGTACACATGAGTGTTTTGATTACCAATGGTAATCATAAATGGGGAAATGGGTACAGATACCTGGATGGGCTTTAGTAAACTTTGATAATCTTGATAGTCTCTTAGACTTCTCTCTCTGAGTCCTACTGTCCCATCAGTACATTCCAGACGTTATTGAATTGTGCAGCAAAGTTCATGACAACATACAAAGTGATTCAACACATAATGCAACTGCTGTTAATTTCACATCAGCGATTTGGAGCCCTGACGTTTGTCCCATGTTGTGAGTTTTACTGCATACTGGATTGACTCCTTCACTTCTCAGTTTAATGTTGTACAGGGCAGTACGTTTTAACTTCTGCTTTTCATTTACTGTATATAATAATAAAACTTCACATTTTATTTTTTTCTAAAGCCACATGAAAGGTCCACTAAGAGTCAGGGGAAAAACGTCAAGGAACTCCTCCAGGAGGGGTTATGTCTGACACATCAGATGATGATTGATCTCTGACACCATTTCCATGTTAAGTACTTCACAGAACAACAAGAGAAAAGAGGGCATCTATTTATCTTGTATGTTTTTTTGTTAGAAGTGAGAATCCGAGTCTCAAGAGGAGATGAAATACAAAAATATTCAGCTCAAAACAAGAGTTTAGGCTTTCACTGTTTAATAACACTTTTGTTTTTAGTTAACTCGGGAATTGCCCAAGGTACATTTTTGAACTTATTCACCTACAACTGGGAAAATGCAACCTAAGTTAACACATCTATCCACCTTCTAGCCACCAGATGTATTTTTGGCAAAAGCTGAGGCCACCAGAGGATGCAGTCAAGTGAAAGAGTCAGTCTCCGCTAAATAAAAGATAAATAATCATGGGGACTGGCTGGGGGAAGAGAGGATGGAGGGTGAATCGAGAGGTTGAATGTTTGATGAGTGGAGTCCCTGCAGCCTACTTTGCCTTCATCTAAGAAAAAGAGAGAACTTTCGCAGCTTCTGTCAGACGTCACCAGTGCCCCCGATGATTACACAAACCACTCTCTGTTTGGTAGGAATCTAAGTAACTTCCTGAACTCAGCACCTTTCTGCCTTGGTAATCCTTGCCCCTCAGTGAGGTAAAAGCCATAGTTGGCCTGTAAATTTCCTGATTGTTAGTTTTGGCTGAACTCACCATGTCATACCTTTTTATCATCTCATATGATAGAAAGTTTATCAGTTTTAAGGTACTTCTTGAGCAAATCTGTAACAGAAAGTAAATCACTTAACTTAATAATAACGTTAAAAAAATAAGTATTTCATAGATATTTGTAAAATAATTTACAACTATACAAAAACATGTATTTTACTGCACAGAGGTGAGTGATGGTCACCAGAAAATACTGAAAAAATGCCAGTAGCAACATAAAAGCTGTACAGTAGAATTAAAAGTTATATTTTAATTCATCATTTAAGTGTACTTGTATACCAAGGTGTTGTCCTGTAACAGTTGCTGAATCTTGAGCTAAAAAGCATGCACACTTTGGTTTATGTACTCACACCGAACAACAGTGATGGCGCAAGCTGGCGGGAGCAAACACTTGGGCTTTTAACACACTGCAGTACCACAACAGTTTGATCAGCATTTGTGAGCTAATTTGTTAGTGATTGCTGATGATAGCTAGACTAACTAGTGCTGTAGCTTCACAGTGAGGAGTAGGAATTTTGTCAGGTGGTTGTTTGCTTCAGGGTGTTCAGTTTAACTTGAAGGCACTGAACAAAAGATGTGACTTCACTGATTGTTGTTCAGCTGATCCAGTCATAACTATCACTTTTTAAACACACAGGGAGCTGGTAAGGATGCATTTGATGTATTGGTTGCGGTCTACCATGTGTGCTGAATTGCTATTCTGATGATTAAGATTATCCCAGTCATGTTGGTCAAAGATAGAGACATTATTATTGAAGAGAAGTGGAGTGAGACAAGTATCAGGTTGGCTCAAAAATGCTGCTCTAACAATAAAGTTCACAAAATCGCTGTCACAAGATTGTACAGGAGAGGGAAAGTACTGCAAAGGTTCCTTGGGAGAGAAAAACAAAAAACAAACAACATTTTTTTTAGTCTTTCAAGATGAATCTTTGAGAGTGAAAACCATTAACAAAAGACTTCCTTGTGTGTGTGTGTGTGTGCCCTTAATTCCTTTGTCAGATACTTATGTGGTGGCTGTGATGACAGGCAGAAGACTAACTACACAGAGGACATCAATATTCTGGTTCAATTTGCTTTTGTAGATCATATTGACACATCAGCATTTATTTTTGTAATGAAATTCACCCATACCAGCTAAGACTTCATCACTGAATATTTAGGAAAACCAGTATGATCCTGTCCTCAATGTGAATTTAAGGAGAAGAACTTAAAAGGATATTCCGGCGTAAAATTAAGTTAGGGTCAAACACAGCATAACACTGAGTTAGACACCCCCTCGAGAGATGAATGTTGTTGACCGCTTGCTTCTCTAGTTATACCAACTTTAGTAACGACCAGACATTAGCTATATACAGTGGTCTGAGGAGCCATAAACAAACCTCAATTAAAACACAACTCTATAGCCACAAATAATGCTCAGAACAGCACCTAACTTCATCAACAGTACATATATGGTCCCAGCCATAGTACTAGCCACCAAACATCTTTTTGGCCTGAGCGAGACCTCAGGCCAGTCCATTACGGACTGCAGTGGGGGAACGCAGCTCAAGGAAGAACATGTATGATAATTTCTTTATCATTTCCTTGAAGTAATAATCACCATATTAATCATTTTGCACGGCAGACGCAGTAGTTCTTCTGCCTTAGCATCTCAGTCTTATTGCATTTCCGTGAAGAAATGATCATCAATGTTCTTCCTTGAGCTGCGTCACCCTGCTGTAGTCTGTAATGGACTGGCCCGAGGTCTCGCTACAAACAAACGGCTGCTGGAAGAGAGTAGGTGAGTTGTATTTAGTCTCTTTGCTAAAGAAATTAGGCAAAGTTAAAAAGATGTTTGCATGCAGATGATGCATGTATCTAAGCTGCCACTGTATAGGGTCACTGCTCTACCAGTCAAGTTATACTTGCACCCTTAGGGGGTACATTATTGATATTTTTAAGTGGATATTATTGAAAAGTGGGGTACTTTATCCATATTTCAGAGAGGCCACATTACTGTAAAAAGTTTGAGAACCACTAAGCTGACCAATGCAGCTTTTATGGGGCCATGAAACATAGATGAGGAAGCCTCTGGAGAAGTCAGGGCCACATGGGAGTGCCCCCTCTTCTAAACTTCGCCCATGTCCTCACACACAGTCTCTGGGGAGGGACCTGGGGCACTGCGCAATCTGCCAGTCTTCTTGGGAGCAGCATAGGGAGCACGAGGGTGGCTAAGGATGGGATCTGTAGGACAATTTCCCAAAGGAAGTGTGCCAGGGTGGAAGCATCAGTGAAACTGTGACCTACTCCCATTGTTCCATGCAAGCATCTGCAGCGCTCCCCATCCTCTCTGTTTCAAAGCTCTACTTGTCAAAACATTTCAGGATCTCAACTCCTGCACTCCTTTTCCCACCCTTTCCTTTTCGTATCCTTTGAGTTATGTACACTTTCATCCCACCTAATAACTTCATACATCATCCAATCAGAGCAGGGAAGCTGTTCATTACTTGTCCCCAAAGATGTGAAAAACAGAGATGAGAGTGTGAGATAAAGGGAAATGTGAGGATCAGGGAGGAGAGGAGTGAGCAGAGGGACAACAAGGGAACACAGTGAATGAGATGACACTGTCATTTCATTAAGACTGACGGCTCCATGTGATGGAGAAAAGCACATTTAGGCAAAAATTCAATAGACAGCTTGTGCAATATGGCTGCAATCACGACTCCCTTGCTCGGTGTCAGGGGCACTAAAACTAATGTCTCACTTAGCAGCGCTGGCTCCAAACTTCATGATTCTCGTCCTCAAACACCAACGCACAATAAATTCTGATCCAGTATGATGAAACAACGCTTCCAGCAAAATCCATAACTGTTGTGTTTTACTGCAGCTGCATTACAGATTCATGGATACTAAAACAGTTCGGTTTGCCACTTATTACCATGCTAATATTGCAACTTTGAGCTGCTCAGGCACAAAGTTATGTGTTTTGTTGTGCTTTAGAAGTCAATATGCTTTCATTGTGTAAATGTAGTCATAAAGGAAGGGACTGAATCATAAAGTTTTCTGAGAAGTTTTAGACATTTGAAAATGATTAGGGATGTGTCAATAAGCGGTAATGAGAAGTAATAAATAAGTGTGTTCCAAGATGACTAGTTTTGTTATCTGTTTAACCTTTGGAGCATCTTGGGGACCAAAAATGACATTTTGGTTGTTTTTATTTGTTCTTCTCTTGGTGAACCGGTCAGTTTAATGGCTAGCTGTATGAAATTTTGGCACCAAGTTTTTTTCATATTTATTTTTTTTATTCGAAAAGCCTGTTTATTGGAAGTGTTTAGAATGGGGGATTTGGATCACACTAAAACTCGTCAACCTTGTGACCAAATTTGCCCCATTGACTCCCATTATAACCACATATTTATCATATACTATAATCCTAACATATTCTAATGCTTTTTCTAATCATAACGAATAGATCTAAGCTTTTAACTTTAAAATGTAGGTAAAATATGTTTTAGGTGTAATGGCCCTCTTTAAGGTTGTTTAGACGCCTGCTGTCTTAAAACTATCGATCGGTCAAAGATCAATTGAGGGATTTAGCGTAACAACTTAAAATTAACATAGAAATGACATTTGTAAAATTAAAACAAAAAAATCTGTCCAGGTGTTTCTTGGTGATTTTACACCTATCCTAAAATTCTGAAGCTCTTCTTTGCTCCTCCAATAGAAGAGCACTACACAGCCTTTAACAACATGCAAATGAACAAAACTGTGCATAATCACAACACTGACTCCACTCAGTGTCATCAAACAGCAGAGACGCTCTACAGCCCCATGCGTATTCTGCCAACTATTCCCTTCTCCCTATCTTGACAGCGTCTGTGTCTGCATAATGCACACACTCACTTACACACGCACACACACACACAGACCACCCGTACTCTCACACTGCTGTTGTTTTTAATGTTGCAGTACGCTGTATCAAGAGTGAATATATCAAGTTTTCAACAAACATGTCACATCGCTGCCAAAGTAACACACCCCTCCCATCCAAATAAAGTACAATTGTGTACACAACACAGAGGACAAATGCAAAAACACATCTGTATTTAAGGTTTGAAAACACACATCTATCTATTCTATAAACATATCACAATACCGACAATCTGTATGTTACTGTATATTTTCCTCTCTAAACAATGATTTCCATTGTCATGGAAAAGTCTCATACCAGAAACTAAATAGCATGCGGCTGCTGATGCCTTCATGTGTTGCACTGAACTGGAATGTAGCTTTTTTTTTAACCTTTCAGTCGGCTTGAGGGGATAAATTAATAGGGTACTCGAGAGATTTTGTGTTGCACTTCAAGAAAGTTGGGGGAACTCACAAGAAACCGCTCAAGAATAATTGAAAACGAAGCAGTAGAGTGAGAGAAACTACTTACTTCAGTCGAGTTTGACTCGAACTCCAGGAACACTGGATCCTACATTTCCCATAATGCAAATTGATGAAGTCTTTTCATTAGACCTTCCTGGCTCCCTAAAATCCCGACTTTTTTGAAACCAGCTGCTGTAAATCTCAACAAAGACACTCTGTTAATGATTTTAACCATTAAAACTACAAGGAGTCCATTCCAGACTCTGCTCCAGCACCTTTATCCAGCAGAGCCTGGATCCAGCATGCAGAGCCCACATGATCACACCAACAGTGCGTATACTAGCAAAGTAACCAAGTAGCAAGGAGTTGCCTCGGAGTGATGTCAGCCATGTGGCAGTATTTTTTGTTAAAATCCGAAAAAGACATTGCAGTTGAGTGCAAAACTTGTAATGAACAAATTTGTGCTAATATAGGATCAACATCGGTATTGGCGAATATTCTGAAGGCTACAATATTGATATCATATAAGTAAAACAGTTGTATTTGGACAGCCCTAATTAAAACGACAAATATTACATCATTGGATTATTTTGGGTAACTTGGTAGTACTCTTGTTACGTCTCAACTAAACAGAGTGTGTTAATACGCTTGAGTGAACCTGTTAAAAATATAATGGTTTGTGTCTCAGTAATCACAGTAGAGTGAGCACAGAGCAAGTCTACTTTTGTCCTCTTTCATAAGCCCCGCAGAAGTAGTTAGACTGACAGTGACACACTGTGACAGCAGTCTACCTCTGCTCGGCTTAGCACGGTACACATTGTTGTTTACATGAGCTAAAGGCCCGTGTTTGTGTCATGAGGGTACGTAGTGTGCACATGTAGTTTCCACTGCTCCACAGGGGTAAACAAAGAAGATGATAACCCGGAAAGCTACTGACTCAAAGGTCATGTTTAGTGCTGGATGTTAGGGTGCACTTGTATTCAAACAGTGTGAGCATATTTTGTATGGCAGAGGGCCAAAAGTAAACACAGTTTAATGAAGCCTGAAGCCCGACAAACCCTGTGTCAAAGTGAAACATCTCCAAATTTGGTGGTGGCAAATACATTCAATTTCAGCCTCGTACTTATGTTAACTTCACTTGATAAGTATAATTTTCTGCTGCTTTTACTTTTTCCTCTTTTAAATTTCAAAATAATTAAGTTCCATCTTTCTTGACACAGTTGGCCAAAAAGGAAATGGCGAAGAAGAAGCCTGGTTGACATGCGGCAAAGAGCAAGTGTTGGAAGCAAACCCTGTGCTTCTTGGAGAGGACTCAGCCTCTGTCCATGAGATCCACACCAGGTGAGCCAGCGGGGCAATGCCTTAATATACAATTTTTTAGAAAAAACATCCAGTTACCTTCACACTTAATCTGGGCAAACAAAGATCTTTCGATACAGTAGAGTCCTGATTAAAAGTTGAACTGGTCTACCCACAGACAGTTCTTTTGGGGTTTCAGGTAGAAAGAAAAAGCTATAACTGTGTTTTTGTGTCAAGACTTCGAATTGCATTAAGTAACATCGAGTTTCTGCGAGGATGTGTATATCTTTCTGCGCCTGGTCCAGTAGTTCAGCTCAGTCTATGGTATTACTGATAGTTTCGAGGCACAGAAGGATTCTCTTCATGTGACCTGTGAGCTGAGTAACTTACTGTATGAAATTGAGTCTTTTCAGTCAAACCAGTACTCCTCATAGATTTTTTGGTTAAAGCTGCCGAGGGGAACTTATGGTTTGTGTTGATTCTGGCGCCCCCTGTGGACAAAGAGATTTCTCTTTTGTCTTATCCTTGGATGCAGCACACTCGCAGGTTGACAAAATAGGAATCAAAAGTGCTTGTTTGCTCATCAGATTTGATTGTAAGTAAACACCAAACAGTCTCTTGTTTTGAGAGTTGCTCGTGGCTGAAGATGTTTTTCTGTGTCTTGATTTGTGCTCCCTTAAATATTCAGTTTGAATTCAAAACAATGCCTGCAAAGAAAATATTGGATGGTTTGTTTGTTGTTGAAATTTTAGTGTGAAAAACTGTTTGGAAAGAGGACTAAGAATGCCTAAGAACACAATGTTGTAAAACTGCTCCTCTATTAAGCTGACAGAGGTTACTTAGAGCCTTAGTTAACTCCGTATCCTGTATGGTTTTAGTTGGCCTATGTGAGGTGCAACCCTGTTCTGTTGTTTAAAACATCTGGGAGGCGCTGAACTTTATCTTTCAGGGCGAACATGCCCACATCTGCCCTGCGAAACCTTCATAAGCTGTGCCAGAAACACACCGAGTAGCCCCCACTGTCCTGGGAATTTCCCATGGAGAGGACATGTGTGCTTGTTTTCATCACTTGGGGGGACACGTGTGGGCTTGAGTGACAGAAAACATCCACCGATCCAGGTCAGTGGAGTGTGGGTCACAGAGAGCTCCCTGTCTTGTTTATGTACATCAGCAGCACCGGGGGTTGTCAGCACAACCGACAACATGTTGACTCATCAGCAGGCCCATTTCCAAGTGACCTCTCCACACATGAGCGCAAATATGACTTGCAGTCGACAAGTGGAGAAGCAAGTGTGTACAAAGAGAGTTTTAAAGGATCAGACTATAAGTTTATACTGTATTTGCCAAATGTCCAGAAGAGATTGTAGTCATGTTTTACCACAGGCTTTTTATGACCTTCTATGTGATGTAGTTAATTACATAATCGTATAACTTTTTCTGTGAGTATTGACGTAAGCCTGCTAAAGTTTTTGCATGTTTTAGAGGTTTTAGTTTAAAATGACAAATATAACCATGAAAAAAAGAACAAAACAAAGCATATTCGTGTTGACTAAAGATGCTCTGAAGCATCTCATTTCTCAACTGTTTAAACAGAAATTGAAAATTCAACTACCGTATTTTCGGGCGATAAGGCACACCGGCTTGTACGGCGCATTAACCATTGATTGGTTTATTGTTGATAATGCATACTCTGGGCCCAGGCTGCCTTACATGAATGCACCTCTAGTTTAGACATTACAGTCAGGCAGTCTTGTAGACTGCTCAGGGGTCCTGTTACGGGGCCGATCAGGTAGTGAGCGGATTGTACCACATAAAATCGGTCAGTAAGCACAACAAGTAATCATACATAAGGCGCGCTGGATTATAAGGTGCACGGTCAATTTTTGAGAAAATTTAAGGATTTTAAGTGCGCCTTATAGTCCGGAAAACACGGTAAGTGGCTTGGCTAAAAGTAAGAAAACACTCAGTAAACAGTAAAAGCAGGGCACAATCTGTTGATCATTCCTTGATCACAAAGTCTTTGTTTCAACAACATCAAATAAGTTAGCCAAGTTTAATATCGAGCTAACACCACCAGCCCCTCGGTTTCATATTCACATGCCAGTGGGGTTACACATCATACCAGCGGAGTCCTTATGTGCCAGTTTACTCAGACACAGACTACATTTACATTCATCCCCATTTTCTAGATCAATACTGATCACCCCTGCTACGCTGGGATATGCAATTTGTCATCTGTGCCTGCCGACAATTAAGCGGTGAAATGTTTTAACATTATGACAGCAGCCATTAAATGAAGACCCGCCCCGATTTGTGGATGTGCTACGGCCTACACTGTATTTGACTTGCATTTCTGGCCTACCATTATAAGAAATAGAGAATTTATAGGAAAACTTGAATTGATTGGTGACGATTGTTTTGTTAAATCATAATGAGCCACAGGTTGTTAGAGGGGCTTTGACACTAGCTTCTGCTTCAAGGAACTTGGCTTGTATAGGAGTTAGTACAGGGTTTGAGTTAAAGCCTGAGCTCGATTGGAGTCAACCCTAACCCGAACCTACAATGGTAGATAGTACATAAATAAATGATGGACAAAGTGTAAGGTTTAACATGCAGATAGAAATAAAACTGCTTATAATGTGGTCCAATACACGTACACACATGCACATTCACAATAGCACATATATCTATCATATTACATTTGGTGCATGCACCCCAGACACATGTCAAATAGTGCTGTGTATCATCCTGCAGTAACAGTTAAGTGATTTGATTATTTCTGCTACTTCCTCCTACATGAAGTGTGACTGAAGGGGAAAGAGTTGTTTACATTCAACAGTCTAGTAGAAAAAAAGTCATCCTCTCACCGTCTTTGAGCTCAGACCGCTTTACGGAAGCTGTATGAGCTCCCACTGGCTTCTCTACATAACTCAAACTCTGGTTTAAGTATTTTCAACAATCACAGGGTTTTTACTTGAAACGGAGGTCTCTTCCTCTCTAAAAGGACCCTGTGATTTAAACCAGGAGAAACATGAACCAGATCAGAAGAAGCTTGGAAGGGTTTCAGGTGGAGCAGGGATATGAGCTGCTTTTATTAGCTGAGATTGTTTGCAGAAATATGGCTTTTTTGTGGGTCAGGATTCCTTCAGCTTTCATTATTAAAAAGGCTTATAATTGAAGCCAAATAATCTTCAGTGAATCAAACAGACTGAACGATAAAAAGAAAACTCCAAATAAAGCAATTTTATGTTTGGAATAATTGTTTCTCCAAACTTTATTGCAGTCAGTCAAACTTTAGCTTACGTCCCTTTATAATTGAAGATCAATCAGACAAACATTTTATCATCTTTGGAGAACTATGGGGAGACACTTTCGCTGTTGCTCTTACGCTCCTTTGTTCCATATTTTTAGTCTCCTTTTTAGAAAACATTCACTTTCTTCTCTGGCAGCTCAAACAAAGATCTGGAGCAGGAAGTGGGCGTGCGCTCAGACATGTACTTCACATGCAGCAGTAGACTCCTGACTTACCAGTTGTTGTGATTGTCTAGTTTATGCATCCTTAATGTCTCAACATTGTCATCATTGTTGATTCGTTTGTTACAGCGTCCTCCAACTGAGATCTTTATATCCCCCGGCCTTCATTTCGTGTAACTATTTAAACGACAAGAAGTACATCTCAAAGTGCACTTCAGATGGATTTCCCTGTTGATGCACACACTAAGGATAGGAAACTAGGATACCGTTTTTGAAAGTTATTTAATTCAGCAATTTTCAGGGTGTAAACAGATTATTAAGTAAGTAGTATAAGTTTTCTTAAAGCAGTGGAGATTAGTGCCATAAGAGCATTTTGTTTATTAAATTGGGTTTGCCTCTAATCCCAGAAGTTACCGCTGCGTCGTCTACACAGGGATGCCCCTCATCAATTTACATTCAGCACTGATAATCATTTTGAAAATCACCTGGGGGAGGCTGGAGCCTCGTGTTATAGCACAGCCATTCACACTGCAATTATGTGTGTGTCTGTATAAATGAGGTCAATGCACATAAGAACCCAAGGTAATCACTTCATGCATCACAGCTGCTATCAAGGACACTTAAACCCTTCTCTGCGATGTAATTGCTCTGCAGAATAAGCAGTGGTTGAGGTTTATCGCTAATCAGGGTAGTGTATGGCTCGGTGTTGGTTATCATTACACTAATGTATTTATCGGGCTTGATTTGAGCTCAGTATGTCGCTGGCTGATCTCCCTGTAGCAGAGCTCCTCTTGATAAGGTTGGAGGTAATTACGGGGGGAGGGGAGAGGAGAGGAGGGAGGGGGGGCCTGCGTGACTGAGCAGCCAAGGGCATTTCTTCTTCTCTGCTCTGACCAGACCAAACAACAGGGGTTTTCCTCAGTTTGTATTTGCAGGACTCCCTGACTCCACCCTCCCTCCTTGTGCTCTCCTTCACTTTCAGCTGCTGTCTTAATATACACCTCTCCTAGCACTCTTTGTGTATGCATGCATGGATACAGTACATGAGTGATTGCATGCATACATGCACATTTGAGCATGTGTACCGCATATATGCAAGAAATGGGGAGTAAGTCTCTTGTGTCCTGTTTGATTCTGTTTCCAATAAAAGGAGAACATAGTTCCTCCTTTTTTCCTTCCTTTTCTAAACTGGGCCATGAGCTCTACAGTGCTGCTAGTAATTATCAACCTTGTGGGAAGATAGAGGGGGAGAGAAGGAGAGAGGAAAGGGAGGAATGAAGTCATAAAAGCTAGTTAACAATACAACTGAGGTATGTCCGGAAATAAAAGAGGGAGGGATGACAAGAGCGAAAGAAAAGGGCAGTGATGGAGTGAAGGAGCGTTACAAAGATACAGAGTGTGACATGCTTGAGAGGGAGGGAGAGGAGATAAGGGGAGACAGGTTGAAAAAAGAGGTAGTTGAGGAAGAAGAAGAGGGATAGCGCAGATAGGGGCGGAGGTTAAAGGAGGAATAGGAATATATGAGGTGTTTCCCGTAACCTGCAACAGCCAACAATGTCATCTTAATTTAAATTCAAAGCTTCATGAATCATTTCGCGTGACAGTGGCAGCAGTTCACCAAAGTGAGACAGAGTTATTGCAGCTTATTAATGGTGCTGACAAGAGCATGTCAAACACGGACAGCAGCAAATAGGACTCACGCTGCTTCCCTGACACACATTCACTATTCACATATGTGCTTCATTAGCATTATGACAGCATGTATCAGTGACAGCACAGGGGATTCACAGGCTGTATACTGAGGTTTTAAAGCTACTTGATAATTACAATTTTACCCCTCTGGTTCAAACTCAAATCATGGAAGCACGAGCGCAAGACCACTGAGCCAAGCAGCAGCTCCCCAAATCACCTCACCTCTCCGTTCTTTTCCCATGGACCCTCCAGCAAGGACACAAATAGGAGCTTTAATATATGCAGCACAAACAGACACAAACATTCCTCTACTCCCACGGGGGTCCAGACCTCTGTCAGATCCTGTGATGATCACACAATAAACAAACGAACAAGCGTAACAGCACAGTGATGGACAACAAAGGATTCAGAATTTGAACTTTTATTGATTTTCTTTGATTTAGTCCTGATAGAGCATAATCCTCGAACAAAGAAGAAGAAAACCACGTGAACAGGCGTTTGAGAGCAGCTTTGCATATGAGGAGTGAGCCTATGGTAGATTTTAGAAGAATATTATTGTATTTTTTTTATATTGAACTGACACAGATTCAACATTCAGAGGCAAAGAAATGTACACACCATGATGTGCTCGAAGAACTCAAAGATCAAAATTATGATGAAAACTTTTCATCACTGACCTTTTTTAATGATGATATGTCACAGGTAATAAAATCTGTGGCAAACATATGTGGACAGAAATGACACAAGAATACATTTTATGGGACTTTTAAAATCCATGATATTTCCCCCACTGTCTGCCACTCAAAATACAAGCAACGTACCCCTGTAAGAGGCAGAGTAGTCTTAGGGGTGCAGTGTTTACTTGGTCACTTATCTGGAACAAGTGCACCCTGGGTAGAAATCCTCTCTGCCTCCATGCGTCTTACTCGCTTTGATTCATAAACTTATCCGGATGCATGTTAGTGACAAAGCCTGACCGGCAATTAGGACATCGTCAGTTTAATATTTGAGTATTTCCACTCAATAAATATGGCCAAACTGGCACATAGAGGGCAAAAGGAGACTTTGATGTGAGTAAAAAAGCGTAAAGTTGAGTTTTCATCAGACAAAAATTTTGAATGAACAGAAAAAAGGTTTCTTGATCTTTTACAATTTTAAACTAATTTCTAAACAGTTTTACTCTGTATAGGTCTGTTTTTCCTCTGCTTTTTGAGGGAAAATGCTTCACCATAATTTCCCAGATTCTTGTGTACAAAATCACTGTTGAAGGTGATGTATTTTAACAGCATTTCATTCCCAAAACAAATCATATTTCATAGTAGTTGAGACGGCACAGCGAAACACCATGTTTTTGTTTTCCCAAGGAGGAATAAGCGCTTACTATTGTTTGCTCTGCATTACACAGTCTGCTCTCATTTCCTGTGTTATGGCTCATGCTTGAATAAACAGCTGAATTGATGACTCTTTTGAAAGTATGTAGCAGGTATAGATAGGCATTATGATATATTTTGATACAACGTATTTTTCGGGTGATAAGGTGCACTGGATTATACGGCACACTGTGAATTAACATGTCTATGTTCACACATAAGGCACACCGGATTGTGAGGCGCATTAAGCATTGATTGGTTTCTTGTTGCTAGTGCATACTCCAAGCCCGAGCCGCCTTACATGAATGCAATTCTGGTTTAGACATTACAGTCGGGGTCCTGTTGCAGGGCTGATCAGGTAGTGACACAGCGTACCGCAATGCCCAATGATGAGAATCCATCGAGCGGAGCTGCTTTGTTGCTTACCAAAGTCCTACTTCCACATGTCGACAGATTTTTGAGGGCACAATACCACATAAAATCGGTCAGTGGGCACAACAAGTAATAAGGTGCGCTCAATTATAAGGCACACTGTCAATTTTTGAGAAAATTAAAGTTTTTTTTCCTAAAGTAGTATTTGTGATTTCCATGGTTACTCAGTGCATGTCTTGAAAACAACGTAAATGAACTCTGTTAAGTTTTAAAGGTAAAATCTTTGGAGCAAATGTAATTTTACAGAACAGAGCAAACTGTTCCTGATCCCACATCTGAACTACACTGTCCAAACTTGACTACCAGACAACAGCTAAAAATTATAGTCTCAGTGTTACAGTATGATTCGCCTTATAATGACATATGTTCACGACTCTCTTATCTGTAACACTAGTGGGAAATAAGCAGAATATCTCATATTATAGGTTCTTACAAATGGAGGGTGGGGGAGCTCCAGGTTATGGATTGTTAAACTCCCATGAGGTACATGTGATAAAACCTTATTACTCAGGAATACATTAGAAAAGCAAGAGGAATTCCATGAGTAGATTGTCATGGTCAGTTTTATTCTGCAGAAGAAATACTGATTGACAGGTTGATGATCTTGGAGAGAAAGCTTTGAGTTAATAACAAACGCGATCAATTTAAACAACTATACATTTACAGACAGTATATTTTTGGTACGCCTGCCTCTTTCCCCTGCAGTAAATCTCCCATTCATGCCCCTCTTCCTCTCTGCCTCTCTTTCGCCCTGTCTTCTCATCATTACCTCTATAGGTGTCCTCCATCCTCACTGTCTTTCTCTTGTTAGAGCTAAATTCAATCTGTCCTTGTCAGCTTTAATCAAAACACCCACAGATTCAATTTAGCAGGTTTGTGTGGGAGGTTAAGGTGGCATCTTCAGGACAGCAGCAAACAAAAGAGACTTCCCTGTGCACACATCCCTCCCCCGCCCTACTTTGAACAAGACTTAAGGCCATTTTTTTTACAAAATCTCTACGGCTCAATATGTTTGACTGCAACCCAGAAACATCAAGGTACTACATGCACCTTTAAAATAGACTTATACATAAATGAATCCCTTAAACTATTTTAGCTTTTTATCATGCTAAAAGATCAGAGTCCCAAACTTGTTTTTGATCGGGACACGTTGTACGTGATTTAACAAGATCACCTAATTCTGTCCATGAACAGCTGCATCCCCATCCTCGCCATCTAAGACCATTTGGTACCAGATACTTAAGTCCTCTCTGATGAAAAAGGGCTCAAAGCTAAAAATCCTCACAATTTAGATGACCTTTAATTCAACCACTAATCTTTTATTTATCTCTTCCAGATGCAGACAAGTAGAAAGCTACTGTTGGGAAATCTCTTAAATCTTGATTAGGGCTGGCTTTCCTTGGAATATTTTCAAAATGTGTGCTTTAACGATAACCTAGTTTTGGTTCCAGTACTAAGGACAAAAAAATACTGTTTCAGTACCTTACCGTGAAAAATGATCAGACTTATCAACAAAACCTCGTTTTTTTTTATTTTAAGAAAGTATTTGAGGGCTAGTTATTTACAGAAAAATGATGTGGTTTTATCAACAACTTTATATTTGGACTTTAAAATGAAAAAAGCTCTAGTCTTGTTAAGAATTGGGTATAATGGATTTCTTTCAGTCTCTGTACTTCTTCTCTGATACCTTTTTAATAGCTTTATGTGATTTTCAGATCCAGAAAAGCTGCTAATTTCTTACTCTGGTGCATTAAAATATTTTTTCAGCCTGTGCTTCGTTTTGGCTGCTGTCTCTTTAAGGCCCCCCCCTCCACAAGCCTACTTTCTTCTGATTGGCCCTCTCACCTGAGGCTTTCCGAAAGCCAAGGGCAGAGCTTGTTGTTTTGGCCCACTCTGTATTGTGTTCGATCAGCTGAGCGTTACCCCCATACACATCATATATATAAATTATTATGTCTATGGTTACCCCGCTTTGCTGTGGGTGTCAGAGGCAGGCTGCTCCACTTTGCTGGAACCACATGAACCAGTAAGGAGAATCTATAATTCTTAAGTAAGTCTTACATCTACGGTCTTGCATTATCATGCATCTGTCCAAAATTTGAGCAGTTTATACCTACTTTCTCGAATTATGACTAAATACGTTTACCTTGTGATTTGAAACTCTGCATACATATTGTATGGACACCAAACTTTGTAACTTTGCAGTTTTTGTTGTAAATGTGGAAAAGCACGATACTCCCCTTCAAGAAAGAGGGAGAGCCTGAAAACATAAAATCACTATCAAGCATAGGACAAACAGGTTATTTAAAACTCCCATGATGAACTTTTGGTTTGTGTCAATTTTAGTCTTTGCTGAGCTGGTCTTGTACATGCCTAAGGTTGTCCTCTGACAGAAAATCTCATAATTCTGACTTTTGACATTCAAATTTATTATTAATTGTGAATATTTTAAGTGGAAAGTGTACAAAAAGAGCTTTGTCTTCAGCTGCTGTGCTGACCTCTACGCTCTTGCACTGGTCTCAGGTGTTAAATATAAGGAGGTAAAGTTTGTTAATCTTGTTGCTGATGATCTTGTTTGCTTTGTGTATATCAATTTCATTCTATTTCATAAACAGCAAAAACGTTCTCACAGGAGCTTTGATCATATGATATAGAGTGAACATTTTGAAAAAGCTGAATGTTGAGATAAACTACGATTAATTATAGCAATTCTGTGGGAAACCACGATTTGAAACATGTTTTGTTTTTCCTGCAAATTTGATTTGCCACTCTGTTCTTTTAGGTCTGTTAATTGATTTCCGGTGGACCTTATTCTCTTTACATTTATGATTACCACACTGAAATATTAACAGCAAAACTGTTTGATGGCAGTACAACCCCAGTATAGAGTTTTGCAATGTTACCTGAATTAATTTTTTATGAGCAAAGTGAGAAAACGTGACTGAGAAACCAAGGGCATTTCTTCTGCTTCTGTGACTGAACTAAACAACAAGGGATTTCCTCAATTCATATTTGCAGGACTCCCTGACTCTCGCTGCTTTCCTTATCATGCTTTTTTTCCACCCTGTGCTCTTTTTATACCTCTCCTTCCTGTTAGTGTATGCATGCATGCTTACAGTACATGAGTGATTGCATGCATGCACACATTTGCACATGTGCTGCATATATGCAAGAAATAGGGAACATGTCTCTTGTGTAGTGAAAGAGTCTGTTAATAAATACAAAGAGGACTGTGCTTTTACCTTTTTTTCCTTTTTAAAACCATGAGGGCCACAATCTTTAAAAAAACCCACATTTAAGCAGAAAATTCCTATTTACTACATATTTTCAGCATGTTAAAAACAGTATGTCATGCTTTTTCTTGGCATTTAGAGCATTTGTTCAATGTCATGGAAAGATTGAGGTCTTACTTTAATTCTGAAAAGTTGAGCAGCTGTTTAAATCAAAAGGTAGGACATGTAAATCAAACAGAAAACTTGGCTTGGATCTGGGAACATGGGGACAACCCAGCATCTTAGAGTGGGTGCAAACTTATCTTTCACTAAAAGATCCTCTGAAAAAATGCCACCCCTCAAGAGACAAGAGCAGGTTTTTTCCATTCAAGTTGCTCTGGGTTTTTTTGGGGGCTGTAAAGTCCTAGTCGACTGGTCGACCTATTGGTCAATATGTGCAGAGTCGACTAAAATTCAGATTGGTGGACTCGACTTTTTTCTGTCATTTTACAGTCTATGGTTAATTTCATCAGGAGGAACGTACCAAGTGCTAATGTGGGTGTTTTGAGAGCACACTGTTTCAGAGGTAACAGCCTGTCTCAGAACACCCCGCCTGTTTTCACCATTTTGGATTCGCCCAACCAACTGGAGACTGGCTGGAGACAGGAAGATTGAAGAGCGTCAACGTTAATTAATGTCTGGTAGTTTGCTGAATATAATATTTGTGTTTAGTTGCCTTTTTGTGTTGATATCAGTATATTTCCCCCCCGCCGAGCCATGCTCCACTGAGCCGTGTCAGCCCCCGCCGCAGAAGGGTTTGCCGTCAGAGTAGGAACCCTCCCCCATTAGTCAATTTTTGGTCAGAAATTTCAGGGTTTTCAGAGACCAAGAATTTCTTAAGTTGAATACAGCCCTAGTTTTTGTTTGTAGTCCAGGTTGTTGTGCCCAGTTGTGTATGCAGGAAAATAGGGTGCTTCCCAACACAGCAAAAGAACACTCTTGGGGTTCTTGGGAAGTCTGGTCCATTTTGGTTCCATACACAATTCTTAGTATCTCCATTCTCCATCAACATCTGGGAAGAGTGCCAAAACAATTGATCCTTACTGTTCTACTTTTTTTAAATATTTTTCTGTTGGAGTAGCAAAGTGAAGAGCTATACACACTGCAATCTGTTCACAAAAAGAGAGGTGAGATTGTACTGAAATATTTCTCTCCTAACCAGATGTTATTTGATCAAATTTTGTACCTAAATAAATTTTGACTCTGCTTTGTATACATTTGTTTTCACATCATGGAATGCTTGCAGGTGTTTTAACACTGTTGTGGTCTTATCAGGAAACTTAAAAAATGACACCTGCTGAGCAGTGAGAGAGGCACAGAGATAGATGAAAAGGGAGAGAGGTTGCAAAAGATGAAATATTTCCTCTAACCTGGTTTTAGTTGATAGCTAACAGCTATCCTGCAGCCGACATGATTAACAACCTCTGTCCCCAACAAAAGTTAACTGTAGGCTTGGAAACGAAAAAAGGGTGGTTCAAGAAAATTTGTTTTACTAAATAACTTTCCTTGACATAACTTCAAGATAAAGGTATTGTGTGAAAACAAAGACAGTCTCTTCGCTGATTGTGCGTTTACTCTAAAAAGCCCTCCAGAGGTGTGCCCATGCTGTAATTGACACGCTCATGGCAGAAATTTTGCTGATTCAAAGCCACTGTGGTCTTCATCTGATCAATGTTCTCTCTATTCTGGCTGAGATTTACACATGGCTCCTAGAAAAAATTGGCAAGCCTTCTACTCTTTGGATTTTTCCGTGCTTGAGGCCCATGTGAGACTCACAACTCATGCTGGCAGTATCGTTGAATTGATCTGTTACAAGGGTGTGTGCCCAAAATGAGAATCAAGCTACGATGGGGCCAACACACTTCCAATACACTTCCTGTCTGAAGTGCTGAAGGTACAGTTGCCTGTGGGAATGCAAGTGAAATCAGAGCTTATCATATCAAACCATACCAAACCGTGCTGAACCAAACCGAACATGCAGTGGGGTGCACCGCTCGGGCTCTGAACTCTTGGGTCAGTCTAGCCTTAAAGGGATATTCCGGCGTAAAATTAATTTAGGGTCAAACACACCGTAACACAAAGTTAGACAACCCCTCTAGAGACGAATGTTGCCGACCGCTTGTTTCTCTAGTTAAACCATCTTTAGAAACGACCGCAGGATAGCGATACACAGAGGTCTGAGGAGCCATAAATAAACCTCAACCAAAAAGCCACTTTATAGTCACAAATAATGCTCAGAATAGCACCTGACTTAATCAACAGTACATATAGGGTCCCAGCCACAGCACTAGCCACCAAACATCTTTTTAACTTGCCTAATTTTCTTTAGCAAAGAGACTAAACACAACTCACCTACTCTCTTCCAGCAGCCGCTTTTTTGTACGGAGAGCTCTGACCAGTCCATTACAGACTGCTGCGGGGTGACGCAGCTCAAGGAAGAACATTTATGATCATTTCTGTATCATTTCCTTAAAGTAATAATCACCATATTAATCATTTTGCACTGCAGACACGGTAGTTCTTCTGCCTTAGCGTCTCAGTCTGATTGCATTTCCATGAAGAAATGATGTCTCGCTACAAACAAGCGGCTGCTGGAAGAGCGTGGGTGAGTTGTGTTTAGTCTCTTTGCTAAAAAAATAAGGCAAGTTAAAAAAATGTTTGGTGGCAAGAGCTGCGGCTGGGACCCTATATGTACTGTTGATAAAGTTAGGAGCATTATTTGTGGCTATAGAGTTGCTTTTTGGTTGAGGTTTGTGTGTTGCTCCTGAGACCGCTGTGTATTGCTAATGTTTGGTGGTTATCAAAGTTGGTATAACTGGAGAAGCAAGCAGTTGGCAACATTCATCTCTCGAGGGGGTGTCTAACTCGGTGTTACGGTGTGTTTGACCCTAAATTAAATTAATATCCCTTTAATCCAATGCACAGTAAGATGAAAAGCTGCAATAATAAAAGCATACCACAAATAATACAAAAAATACATAAAACAAGACCGTAAAGGTAATACAACAAAGTCCACACAGAGACCACACATCTCTCATGCTGGGTAAAAAGTGAAGGAATAAAAGTTTTGAGCTGAGATTTAAAAGTGTGTTCAGTCAGGGACCTTTTAACATCATCAATGCAATAATAAACTATACAAACAGGTATCTACAACATACAAGTGAAGTTGCATGTAGATACCAAATCTCAATTCAACAGACCATAAAGAATAGCAGCACACAGAAAAGGTAGTATGAGATAAAAGCCTTTTATGGCTAACTGCTGACTACACTATAAACCCTGAAATGATGGCTGTCACTCTCTGAGGTTATGTTGTCATCGAAGACCGGCTGATAGGTTCTGAGATTGGCAACAAACTCAAGGACAACATCAGAGTTTTATTCAGTTTCAGGGATTCATGATGATCAACATTATAACGCCACTGTCTTCTTTTTTTTACTGAACCCTTCTCCCTTCTAAACCAGAAGGTAGTGCCTGGACAAAATGAAGAAACCTTTTTGTGTAAAAGAAGTACAACTGATTCAACTTTGGTGTGGGGTGGTGAACTAATGACAAGAACTGATTGCTCAAAGATGCTAATGGAGAAAAAATGTTCAGGGCCTCTGACTTGAGAATCTTTAACCTGGTAATCTTAAACATCCCTGATCATGAGTGTTATACAGAACTATATACTGTATTTATCTGCCTTTTATGGATTTATAGGAGAATTAATTAATAAGAGAATTTTATAGCTACTTCAGGCAGCACCCTCCTACCAGGCTTTAACTCAAACACCTGCGACTTTCATTAAAAGGAAGGCAAATACTCAGCTTTCAATTAAAAACAACCTACTTTCCACTGAGATTATTAAACCTTGGGAGAACTTTGCATCTGTAGGAAGCTGTTTTGCATTGACAGTTAATATCCAGCCCCATGGCGTCCCATCTCATGTTCCTCTCTACATGCTGCCTCTATGACAGCCTGATTCACAGCTCTTTCTAGTCCCGCCCACCTTCCCTTTAATCTCCGCTGCTATCTCTGCCTACTTCTCTTCCTGTATTTTTGATTACCTCTTTATCTGTGTCCACCCCCGTCTCTGCCATCCACCTCCACCTTTTGAAACAATTTCCTCTGACGTCTTTACTTTTCTCTCTAAACCTGTGTTTACCTCTGCAGACTCGCCCTCACTGTCATCCTCTTCCTCCCTCTCTTTCTCTCTCTCTCTGACCCCTGTCACAGTCAGTAAAGTTCTGATGAGAAGCTACCTAACACTGCATCGTCTGATCAGGTGTTGTTGAGTAAGCGAGTTTGCAGCCCTGATCTCTTGGGGTCAGCTTAATGCTATCCTCTGCTGGATCTCTCCTTGCAAACCTGGGCTGCTGCTCGCCGGTCAGGGCCTACATTTGTGCTCCAACCGTTGACTGGCCCATCTGATGCTTACTCCTACAACATACTACAGTGCACCCTCATGCCAACCAACAAGCTCAATGCTACAGGATGTCTATGTCTGCACTATATGTTCATGCGTCAGTTTGCTATGTGTCAGCTAATAGTGTAGCTATTTTTAAGCATAATTGTATTCCTACTGTCAGAGCATTTCTCTTCCCCTAAATAAATTTGAGAAAGATAATTTCCCTGATCACATTTCCTGTCTGATTTTGGATTAGACTGTCTGCTAAGCCAATCACAAGAAAGGATATCAGAAAACAACTTATAACTCCTTAGTTTTGGTGATTTTTCAAGAAAAAATGCAGCCTCTCAAATTCATGGGATATTGTACAGGGCGTTATGAATATATTCGACATTTTACAGACTTAATGGTTAAGCAGTTAATCATGACAATTATTGATTAATCATTGAGATACTTGGCATGAATTTGCTGTTTTTTGGTTTCTTTTATTAAGAAATTTTGGAAAGGCGTTGACAATAACTGAATGATCAAAAGTTTTGGACGTTGATGAATCAATTAATGACAAAAATTGCCAATGATTTGCTAATTCTTCTCAATGTTTAATCAGAAGTCTAGAGCATTTATGACTTACCAAGGAAAATGTTGTCCTGAAAATATTTGATAAATTGATAAATCATGAAGATAATCATTATGTATTGGCTTCAGCTGCTTTTTTCTATTCTACAAAGTTTAACGTGTAGTGACTATGCTGAGTTGAATTTTAGTCACCGTCTTGGTGTGAGAGTGAGGTGTTTTTGTCGCGCTTCTCGTAGAATCCAATGTCCAATCCAAGGTTGTTGCTGAGTTATCCTTTTGCCATTTATTGATTTAATGACAAACAAACAAACAAAAAGACAGATACGCCCAACTTACTATGATGGTGATGTGCGTGATGAAGGTGAGAGTGGTGTCAGAGATTAGCAGTAAAAACCGTGTGCGCTTCCCGTTCCCCAGATCACTGCTTCACCTGTGTCCCTTTGTAGCATTTACCTGCCCATTCACCTGAAGTGCCCCTTATGGTGATGGTGCGAGTAACAAAACAAAACCCCAAAAATAATACAGATAAAATGGCTCATACACTCGTATTGTGTTGAACAAAGATTTTACAGTGATTAGAAACAACTTAGAGGAAGGGTACTAGGTGACACATAGAGGCCAGCAGCTCAATATCCCCCTCCTCTTTCAAGTCAGATTCCACCTTGAACCAACTAAGAGCTGATTATTGATTATTTGCCATACATTAATGAACAGAATTGATCTTAAAGGAAGGCAGCAGTACAGATCACTAACAGTAAAGCCTTTTTTTTGTATTGGTCAGGCCAGCATGTGAAGAGGTCACAGAGTTAGGGACTCAGCATCCTCCTCTAGACACTCAGAGGAGGACGATGATGATGATGAAGAGGGGAGAGGCAGGTAAAATCAGACTGTGATTTGTCATGGATCTCATCAAGTTTGAGCTTTGTGTCAACCTCATGTATATTAAGAAGCGGGGTTTATGTCCGCCTCCATCATCACAGTAGCCAGCTTTTTATTGCAGCAGTAAATATAGATGATTTGTGCTGGTATGATGCTAATATGACAGCTCAGAATAAACTCTCCTAGCTCGTAGAAAATCCAGAGAATCTCAGGATGGCTCTGCACTGAACAGAAAGTGTCTAAATATTTCTTGGTGTCGAGGCAGTAACTTTTTTCAAACAGCAAACTATTATGAGCACTTGTAGATTTGTACTTGTGTTGCATAAATGTAGAAGCTTAATCTCTTATCTTAATAAGCCTTTTTTAAAGCCCGCAGACTTGGGAAAGTTAAGTCTAAAGAAAGTCTATGTCTGGTTAAAATCCTCTTTTTAATACGGTACTAAAGAAAGGTCAGTGGCTTAAATAAAGCAGATTCTTCTCTCCTCAGACCAAAACTACATAAGTACAGCGATATTGAATACTGTGGCATGTCTCTGTTGCTTCCCCTTCATGTATGTGGAAATATTCGTCTGTATTGGAGAAATATGACATGAATAGAGCCAGGATGACATAACTAACCTTGAGTTTCACAGCTATGATCATCAATGTGAGGGTTTCTTGAAGCACAAGTGTTGGGTTGGAGAGGAGCAAAAGGTTGGCAGACAATAAGTTATCCAAGTTTAACAGGCTGTGCCAAAGGCTTCTTAATCAAGCCGCTGATCTTAGAGATACTAGAAGTTGTTTGGTTTTTTTTTCCCCCCTGAAAATCAGACTCTGTTTGGTGTGTTTGCTGACTGGAGTGTTTGGACCAAAGTGAGGTTGGTGAACTCTCCACTCCCACACTTGGCAAATGAGGGCAGACTTTGTTAGTACTTGTTTGATATTTGCCCAGAACAGTCCTCCAAAGGCCAGACACCACAAAGGTTGAAGCTGAGGGGTTGACATCTTTGTATTCACTCAGGAAGTACTGGACAAATGCCCAACAGCTAACAGTAATCAGTAAAAGCATCCACATTTCCTGGCCATGTATTACTGTAAGCCCTTATTTCAAATGGAGGTGTAAAAATATTATTCACTGTCAGCTTTGAAAGCTTCGGAGACCAAACTTTTTTAAATACCAGCAGCATTTCCCCTAGAATTTTCCCTACGCTGTTACATTCCGTTTCGTAACCCGCACTACCCGCTATATCGACCGTTTTTAAGCTTAACCGTTACCCTTCACTTTGATGGAAGAGGGTCCGACAAGATTTGATGCGCTCGTGGATGACTCAAAACAAGTCAAAAGTAACATTGTGTGTTGCGCTCACACAGTGCAAATCATTAGTGATTATGTGAAATGTCAGTTGCAGCACACTATACTTGCTAATTAACCCAGTCACTTAGCACCTAGCACTTTTGGTACAGCAGTGTGTGGAGATGCACTGGTTGTGAAAAATGTTCAAAATATCAAAGAATTTGATCCTGATCTGGATTTTTTAATTTGGTGATACTCTTTTAGAGCATTGAAATAGTTGCTGGTCACTAAAACAAGCTTACAAACAGCATATTGTTGATCTTTCTCACAGCTGGTGTACTAAACCCACATTGCTGACATTTTCAGGTATGACCATGAAAATGTTTTTTTTTTTTTTTTTTCAGCGTGACTTTTTCTGCCAAACAAAAATCCTCTTCTCTGAATTTATGAGTAGGTGCACTCGCTTGACAGAATTAAATCGATGTTACAAAGCTGCTATAAGATACAGATAAATGTCTCAGTGCAGCTATTGCAGAATATAAGACATATGGCGTTGTCAATCAGATGGTCCCTACAACTGTTTATTGATGACTTACTAACTTTTGGATGATTGGATGATTTTGTACATGCACACCTGATCTAAAAAGGATCTATCTTCTTGACTTTGGTGTCTGTTCTGCTAGTACCAAACAGCTTAGACTTTTTCATTTTCTATTTGGAAAATTTTGGATGGATTGCCAAGAAGCTTCAGAAAGATGCCGAAACCTAGAAGTCAAGGAATACCAAAAACTCAGTAGGTTCCCATGTTGGATTTTTTTACCTTCTTTAAAGTTAATTTGAAGGTTTTTGTGCCTTTTTTTAGAGACATGACAGGAACATAGAGAGAAAGAGTGAGGTACGGCATTCAGCAGAGGACCACAGGTAGGAATTGAACCCAGGTCTCTCAGTTTGGAGACATAGCCCTCTGCACATGGGGCGTACATTCCTACGTCATATACTGCTGTACATCATTAAGAGAACCAAAAAAGAAACCAGAAAGATTTGGATTTACAACAAGAGTTCAAGGAATTCAGAGCTCTCTAATGAGAGTTGATCTCTTTGAAAGAAAGGCCTATTTATTCTTTTGTTTAAACCAACCTGAATTTGATGATATCCTGGCACTCTTCAGAACAAATTCAGAGGGAAACAATAATCTTCAGAGACTGTCTGCACCAGACTGTTTCCATCCTTTATCATCAAAAGATGGTGGATTGTTACTTTCTGCAAGAATTGTATTTCAATGTGATCCATAAGGGCATTTTAAGAGCATGAACAACAACAGCAGAACCCAAAATGGAAGACCAACCTGAACAATTAACAGACCAACCGAAAGGAAACACAAAGACTGATGATACCCCCTTAACTGTAACAACATGTGAGTTTGGAGCATTTCCATCCAGTTTCTACCCCTTCAACAGTGCAACACAACAACATCTGGTATTATTATGTAAACATTTTCAGCCACTGTAATCAAAGCAGGGATTGTCCAGGCGACACAGAACAAATCCAAAATAATGATTGAAACTCTAAAGTGCCTAAGAAGTAATTTAGTTTCTCTACAGAGAGCCGTCGTTGTGCTACATCCCTTTAATCTGAAATTGAAGGGGTTTGTTTTTTTTAGTAACACTGTTGAGTGATTTCAATACTTCTTAAATAGACGTAACAGCCAGGAAAGCTGCCAGCTGCACTACACCCCTTTAAGACAGAAAGATTTTTAACAATTGAAGCAAAAACCTATTTCATCCCCAGAAACATTTCAGATGATTTGGATCGCAGCAACGTTCCCAACAAACACAGTGCAGTGCCTCATGTAGAGCACATCAGTCATCTGGACTGTGCACTTCAAAGTTTGTGAATTACAATGCTGTTTGAAGCACAGCAGACGTGTGAGCGGAGTGGTGCAGAATGAAATGAAAGTCTTCATCAGGCACAAAGCTCCACTCATCGAACATCTCTCTCACGTTCAGCCTGCTTAGGCGCACTCTTTAGATCAGTTTCTTCTACCATCAGCTGTTCGAGCATGTGACTTCTTTGTGATGGCTGTTGGTTCAGAGACGTTTCTGTAATATGCATAATTTAACCTAGCTGTACTACACTTAAATAAATGTGTCTATGAATAAAGCAAAACATTTCTTAGTTAAGAAGTAAATAATTTAGGAGTCTTAACAGCTGGGCCAAATGTTGTGTAGATACTGAAAAAATTGCAAAATATCATATTATCACATCTGGAAAAATACATTTTAAAAATGCGTGTGGGCTCTGCATAATAAACAGTTTAGTGGATGCCTCCATTAGTGCCAAAAAAAGAGTATTGCATCATTTATTGATCATTCTGAACGTTGCAGACATGTGAAAACACACTTCATCTGCAGGAACAATATCTATTCCAAATATTTGGTCTATTTCAAATATTTCTTGTGCAATGATTTCTTTTTACCGACCAGTTGCACATATTTGTGAAAGAGAAAGGAAGTGTTGGCAACACATCAGACATTTCTACATTCAGAGCCTCATGTTAAAGTCCTGCTTTCAAAGAGAGAGAGAGAGAACTTAACAGAACCTGACACAGTTACACAGCACAGGAAAATATTTCACTCTGATTTGTTTTTGTTGCAGATGTTGTTGCCAAAATGTTTTCATAATTGAAGCTGATCTGGAGGCCAGTCCACAGAAATCAGCTCATGGATTGTTTGGGTCATTTACATTGTAATTACCGACATTTTGTTGTTATTTGGACCTAATCAGCTCTACAGTCAAACAAAGTAGTTAATGATTCAGTCAAACAGCAGTTAGATTATCATTTTCTGTGACTGATTTCTGTTGATTTTGGATTAGCAATATTTTGACTTTTGTAAACTTGTGTAGGTCAATCTTCTTTTTTTGCAGTAGACTTTTCTTCTTTGACGTAAAAATAGGGATGTAGTTTACATGTCTGTGACTTTACTAAATTCCACAATCTGCAGAAGTGCAAGAAACCACTGAGTGCCATATTAGAGGATTGCATTGTATGCTATTGTCCCTGCATAGTCATATATCTGGGAACACAAAAGCTCTATTATGTATATAAACAATAATCTCATCTATTTTGTATTTATTTGATAACCTGTTAGATGTTTACTTACAGAGCTAAGAGACGCATTTCCCACCGGTCAATTTGTTAAAGAATTTTTTAAGAATGAAAAAAACTGCTTGTAAGACACTACAATAATCTCTCATGAAATGTTATATGACTGCAAAATTGAGTTGGTTACTTTTTAACTATGATTATACATTAGTTTGACTTAAAACTCTTGGTGGGTTCAGGTGTTTCTTTGTCTCTGATGGGAAATAATTTCATAATTTGAAGACAAATTTACAAGAGATTAATGGATAGAATTAAGAAAAGTAAGTAAAGCTGTACAACTAGAGACATAGACATTTAATCAACACCAAAACCGAATAATTCAACCAGGAAACTTGACAGTGTGATAGCTAGTTCACTTAATGAACTCATTATACAGATCATTTCTTGAAAATACACCAAATGGTTTTTTTTTTAGCCTTCAGATTATCCCAACAAGCAATGAAAGATGGACACAATAGCTGCAGCTCACCTGGTCTTTTCTCGTTTCGACCTTTTCGACCGCCGCATAGTCGTACTTTGGAGATCAGGACCAGGATCTGTTTCTGGCACAGGGACTTGTTGCTCTTAGGACAGGGCTTGCGCTTGTTGGTTACCGGTCGGTTGGCTTGGTCGTCCTTGACCGCCCGCTTCTGTCTGATGAGAGAGCTGGCGAGAGCTGCCATCTTCCCCCCCTCTCACCTTTGGGAGGGGGGTTATCTTCCTTTCCTAGTCTCCCCTTTTTTGGCTGATTTGGCTTTTGCTTCCTCTCAAAAAAAAAAAACTAGAGTAGGACAGAGGTTTTAGAGAAGCCCCCACAGGGGAGTTCTGGGCGTCTAAATGGGTTAACAGGCAAGAGTTAAGTTTGAGGGTTCCCTTAGAGAGCACAGAGATGCAAGTTCACCTGCAGTCTGATATAAAAACCTCCTCTCTGATCGAAAATAAAAATCTGACACAAAAAAAGTGCAACAGTCACATTTTTGGCTCTGAGAAAAACAGAAAAGCCAAGGTTAGACTGAAATAAAAAAAAAAAATAAACTGTAGATGGAAGCGTTTTTCTACCCCTCTTCTCCACTCATCTTTCAAACCCTGATGCGCCTTTATATCCAAGTTCAAACCTTATTCTGCAATAACTATCCTACTTTAAATAGGCAATACCAAAGAGAGTGATCTTAAATTATTTTACATATAAAAACACTTCTGTCAAAGAAAAGTGAAATCATTTTGAATGCTAAGAAGCTCCTAAATTCGCCAGAGAAATCAAACTGTTTGTCACCATTTTTGCAGTCCACGGTGGTCCAACTTTGCCTCCCATTTAAATGTGGCAGCCTGGAATAATGAGCCGAGAGTCGGAGCGGTAATCCAGCAGACTTAAATCCAGAGGTGGAACAGCAGGCGGGTCGCAGGCAATCTTTGTGGGAATGATGATCTCGGGAACAGAGCAGAGACATGGACACAGACAGACAGAGATTCCTCTTCTGCCTCCGATGGTGGCACGCTCCTTTCCCACAGTCCTCACCAAACCCCCCCTCCCTCCTCCTGCTCCTCTCCCTCCTCCTCCTCCTCCTCCTCCTCCTCCCATCCAAAGTCAGCGAGTGGTTGTGAGAGTATGTGTGCGTGAATTCCAGCAGCCACCATCAGTAGAGGTGACATTCATGAGAGAGAGAGAGAGAGAAAGAGAGAGAGGGAAAGAGAGCGAGGGAGACAGAAGGTAGAGAGAGAGGGAGGAGGGGAGTTTTGGGGGGCAGAGGCTGTGATGTGTGAGAACTAGCTTGACTGAGAAAATGTGGGAGACAGACGGGCAACAGCCACTTGACAAAATCACTGCACAGAGAGGCTACAATTTTGTTATTTCACAGTAACGTCCCCCCCCTCCCTGCCTAAAAAAAACTCAATCATTTTGAATGCCCTCCTGAAACAGAGAGACAGTGCAAGAGGGAGAGAGAGAGAGAGAGAGAGAGAGAGAGAGAGAGAGAGAGAGAGAGAGAGAGAGAGAGAGAGAGAGAGAGAGAGAGAGTGCTTAAGGTGCAGATTGTGACAGTTCTCTGTCTCCTCGAGAGGAACAGCATCACCATGTGTTACCTCCTTGTCACATGCGCACACGCACAGACTCACACACACATACACAAACACACACACAGCACATCAGCATTTTTAGTGGAGTCTTCCCCTGCTCTATAATGGTGCGTCCCTCGTCAGTATCCTTCTTTGTTTCCTTCTCACCTCCACGGTGTTTCTGCGACTTCTTCCCTTCAGCTCGACATTAGAAATGTAGACAAAAAAAAAAAACAGAGAAGTGACTTTGTTCCCTGAAACTGGCATTTAATGTGTGACATATCTGACTGCTGGCTTACGTTTACCCCGACAGGGAAACATGAGCTTGGACGGATTGAGTTAGACAGCTAACCCTGCCAACACACACACACACACACACAAACACACAAACCCGCTCTCCACCAGCTTCCCCCAAACCTGCAGAATACCCAGCAAACAATGGCATGTGTTGCCCACATGAAGCACTCTTGTTTGTTCTACTTTCATTTAGATAAAAAGTCGTGGGCTGACATAAGAGATTTTTCCAGTAATTTGGGACAAAAACAGACTTCCACAAGTATCAGTAGAGAGCACAAATCATGCTGACATACTTTTGCACAAAATAGCAGGTTCTGGTAAATGACAATGCCCTGCAGTCAAGCATTTCTCATCTGGTAGAGTTGCAACAAAATGAGGTTTGTGCTTACTGTTTTTTCATCCTGCAAAACAAAGACAACCTGATTTATGTCAAACTGTATGTTTGAGGTAATGGAGTCTCAAGAAAGTCTGTTTAAAACATACACACAGTGAAATCTAAAGAATTTCGCTCACCTCCTCCACATGTGCTGTTTTCCTTTTGTAATATGTTTGTGTTATTTTCTGAACAAACAGAAGATACTTGTGCTCAAATGAAAAAGATTAGCAATACATGAGGAGCACCCCCACCCCTCTGTACCCTCATTTCAGGGTCTTTGCTTTCCTAATGATATACATACTAGGGCCCAACTAGGGCCAATTTTACCCCTTTTGAGACTACTCAGCAATCGGCCAAAACTCGCCAATATTCACCGATATTTTCAGAAATAAAATGTGGAGAATAAGATTCGGTTTCACTTCGAAAATGTTCTGCCATTTGAAAAGTTCCCCGACTTATCCTGTAGATGGCGCAGCGACCTCATGACAATCTTCATCCACTAACTACCTCACAGCACAGCAGAGCGACGGATCTGAAGCAGACAGCTCAGTGACGCACAGAGGAGAGTGGTCCACCTCAACGGTAAATAAACCAGTTTGTGAAGTCAACAAGTTTCAGTTCAACCCACTTCACAATGTTCCCCTCTGTGCTGGTCCCGGTCACGCCGAGTTAACGGTGTAGCACCATGTGATATGCAAGCTAAAGTTAGAGTTAGCCACCTGCTATTAGCCTTGCTACACTGTTAGCCGTGCCAGTAATGGTAGAATAAACAACAGTAAACATTATGTAATCGAGCTACTTCTCTTATTGAGGCAGCTGCATGTCCCCAGATGAGACCGGACTGGAAATGAGTAACGTGAGTTAAGACGCGGAGGCACCGATCGGTGTGTGTGTGTCTGTGTGTGTGTGTGATAAAAATCGATAAAATTAATCGGCAATCGAATTTTTTCCCCATACTTGCCCCCAAATAGCCCCACACCCCAATTGTGGAACCAACTGGGCAACCAGGGACAACACTTTAAAGGGTTTTCAAGTGGGCACCTCCCTTCACCATCAAGCTAGGCTCATAACACCTCGGGGAGGCTTAACGGTAAGCCCCAGTTTCCTGGAACCACCCCCCTCCATGCTGTCTCTCACTGCCCATCATACTTGTGTACAGTAAGAAGAAGAGAAAAACAGAGAGGAGAGAGATGTTAGAAAGAAGACAGGAAGGCAGAGCCAGGGTGAGTAGCCTGTCTGGACTACAGTTCACTCTCACCAGGCTCGAATGAATGGTCTGCCTCCCCTCATTCCCCTGTTATAAAGAGGGAAGAGAAGAGAGATCGAGGTGAAAAAATTGAGCTGAGCAGTTATATCTGACATCTCTGTTAAAGTCTCTCAAATTCTGACAACGTACTCCCTCTTTTCCTTGTAATGAGATAGTTGGATGCTATGATCCTTCCCATTTCCACTGGACAAACCCTCACTATGTATAAGCGGTTAGATCTCCACTGGAGTATGTGCTCTTTATTCTTTATTAGGATCCACATTACCTTCAACAGAGTGTTTGCTATTCTTCCCAGGGTTCACACAAATACAAAAGTAAAACTATTTAAAATCACAATACATCTGTTAGAGACAAAAATGCTGTTAAAGTCAGATATAAACATCAAAAATGAAATATATATGTGTATATGAAATAAGTATATCTGCAAAAAGACTGTAAATAATGTTAATTTGATACAGGAGACGTAATCAAAATTGTCAGAAACACATGACACCAAAGTTTAAGAAAACAAAAAATTTCAGAACAGTGGTTACATAACATCTGTGAGAAAACATCAGCTTCGTTTTATGACTTAAGGAGTTTTTGATAGACTGTTGAAGAGCAGGCTGTGGTCGATGCAAAGTGTTCATGGACTTGGTACCACCAGATAACCAGAGCTCATTTGATGTACCATATGACACACATACAACAAATATTTTAGTCTATCACACAAGAAGTGTGGTGTGTTATTCAATAGATAGAGTTTGAAGAGTTTTAAAGATGTTTTAAAGCATCATTTGACCAGATAAGATGAAACGAGTGACCTGAAAACATCTGTCAAATAGAAAAAAAAGAACAAAAAAGAAAATATCTTTAAAATAGCAATTTCTTCTTCTATATTAGAGACAATATAACCAATCTGTTCAGACAAAGTACAATGTACATAGTTTTTTTTAGTGTTTAGTGTTCAACACCAATTTGTTCAGTTTGACTCATTCAATGTAAAAGTTGAGTCTTCTGCATATAAGGCTATACTTGCATTTTTAACAACATATGGTAAATCAATAATATTTCATAATGGAAGTGGCCCTAAGCACCTCCCTTGTGGAACACCGCAAGACATACTTTTGCTGTCAGAAACACTTCCATTTCAAAACACCTGCTGTGTTCTACCAGAGAGGTAACTCCTCATCCAGGCAAGAGCTGAGGGTGAAAAGCCAGTTTGTTTACTTTTTAATTAATCAACAAGATTTGATTTATACTGCCAAATCACGGCAGTTTACATAAAAAACAAGTCAAAGCTGCAATCTTTTTTACAGTACTTACCAAGAGCCAACATTTATCCATCAATTAGAGAGCCCTTGGCAAAAAAGAGAGAAAAGGCCTCAACAGGCAGAAACGTCAAACAGAACCAGAATCATTGGCAGACAAATATTTGCAGTGATCATAAAAGCGGGTAAATAAGATGGAAAGGGATAGCTGTAATGTTTGGGTTGCACAGGGCAACAAAAATTACAGACGATGATAAAGAAATGCTACTGATAAAAATACAGCCACCAAGTTTACGAATGCAGAAATATGAAATAAATCAGAGCCATGATGGGAAAATCTCATTCACTGTCAAACATATTCTCATTGTGCAGAGTGAGTCTGTATTACAAGTGAATAAGAGAGCACTATTAATGCGGTCTCACAGAATCAAACTCAATAAATCAACCCACCCAAGAGCAGATCAATCCAGTTTTATTCGGCCTGGCACTTCTATTACAGGCCAATTGCGAGGGGAAAACCAGCAGCGGAAGCAACTTGAAAATGCAAGGTCGAATCAAATCGTTTCTAACAATGCCGAGCAAGGTCACTGTCTGTCAGGGCTTGATTGACAGGTGACAGCAGATGTTTGGTCTCTGCGGAGGGAACGAGGGCATGGCGGGGGCGTAGGGCTGGGAACCACAGATGAGATAATGCAGTTTGTATCGACGAAGGGACAGAAAAGATATTTTTCTCCTTTTCTAATGATTCCCTCCAACCAAACATCCTTGGCCACACACTCGTCTTCTTGCTCTGGGTTTGGAATCAATCTCCTAATGGACGTCACATTATACACATTGCCAAAGGTTGCTCTCCTTTTTGCTTTCTCCAATCACAAGTACATGCCAAGTTACACCAAAAGAAAGCTAAGTGGGGATTGTAGGGACATTAGACAGTCTCAAGGTTAGGCAGCGTTTCCATCATTTTAATGAAATTTCATCCTGAAAACTAAGTGGAGTCATTAAGAGTGAAGCCATTCTTCATGTCGTCCTACCTGTGTACACACCCAACTATCAACTAAACACTAATTATGTCAGGACTCTATGTTACATCCATTAGTTATTTCTAGTATATTACCATATCAATGTGAGTCTCTTGTCTTAGTCTTAAATCCACATTTAATCAGGTTTAGGATTTATCTCAGCAATAGCGTTATTACTTAAAGGTCTTTATTCAAATGAGTAAACTTTTTCCAGCATTAATTAAAATTTATATTAGAATATTATGTATTGCAAAGAAGCATACTGACACATGTACGTATATGAATTCTCATCATCTGAATAATGCTCTGAAGGGGATTAAATGCAGATGTGTAGCTAAATACAATCCCACAATCCCTGCATGCATCAACATCTCATAGAAGCCGAGGGTATTAACAGCATATCCTCTTTGACAGTGCTTTATGGAGAGATGTTTTTCTTTTCCCGGTATAGTAGCTCCCTGTTATGTAATGACGTCTATAATCTTTACTTGACAAGATGAGTTGATGACTGTTGGAAAGAGATGTTCCTTTAGGGAGACTATTTTTTGATGGATAGGCACTTATTTCATTGACTCCCACTGACTCATAAGTTTGAGGTATTTTACCTTTCATGACTCTTCACTATTAATTCTGATGTATACATCTACGCCACAGATGGAAATATTTTACTTTTATCTTAACTAAACCTTGTATGTTTCAAATCTCTGATAATTTATCTTCAAACTTGAAAATTTTCATCAACATTTGAGGCAAAGTAGCTCAGTTTGTGGGTGGTTAACTCTTCATACATGATACTGAGAAGTTTATCTTTTAAACTGCAGCTGGTTGTTCATTTCCTAAAAAATGTGGATTTATTCAGAAAATCTTTAAACTAGTGATGCACGATATGAAAAATTTCAACCGATACCGATAACCGATAATTTTCTTCTTCTCATGGCCGATACCGATACCGATAACCGATAAATTCATATTTTTACATTTATTATAATCTTCATATAATCTGCAGTTTGTGCAGGATGCAGCGATTGAAAACTGAAATTTTTGTTGCTCTGGCCTATCTAGAACAACAAACAAAAGTTTTTGGCTCTTCAAATGTGGTCATTTGCTATAAATAACAATAACAGAGCAAAAAGCAGAACTTCATTTGATCCCCTGAACTGTTCAACAGAACTGTAAACTGTAAAGGAGCTATTATGAGACGTTAGGCTTAGCATGCTGACCGGACTAACATCTGACGTCCATATGTCTGTGGTAAAACTCACGTGTAGTCCGTTCTTGTCGATCAGGTTGTGAATGTATGTGGCGACAATATCATAGAGTGCAGGAAGAGACACATCCGAGAAGAAGCAGCGGCTTGGGAGAGTGTAACGTGGCTCCAAGTGTGCTATTAACTTACGAAAACCCGGGTTCTCAACGACGGAAAAAGGCTGGTCGTCGACCGCTATGAATTCCATCACTTTGTCGTTAATGGCTTTAGCCTTTTCGCTGTCTCTTGAGAAGCTTTTGCAGTTTTTAAACGCCTGCTGAATGGGGACATCGATCCTCCGTAGTGTTGTTGTCTTAGCTTTAGTACCGCTAGCAGCTTCGGCGGCCGTCTCATAGTCCTTTAATACTGCTCCGCCGCGATGGCGACTTTTCAGATGAGCTATCAGATTCGTTGTGTTAAAACTTGACGTCTTCTTTCCTCCTCTTGGAATCCTCGCTGAACAGGTTTTGCATATAGCAATGCTGTTGTCATCTTCTGCCACTGAGAGAAACGACCATGCTGGTGAAGACATTTTATTATCTGTCAGGCAGTGACGGGGTCAGGCTTGGGACCTGCGAGTAAGGCTTGATAGACGACGTGACCAGCGCGTCTCGGACGGGCGGCTACTCCGCCTGCAAACGTTACTCGTAATTTCATTAATATATCGGATCTTTCTATCGGAAAAATGCACCTATCGGACCGATAAAAAATGACGTAATTTCCCCCCAAATCGGCCGATATTTTATCGGTCCGATAAATATCGTGCATCCCTACTTTAAACTACAAACCAGGTTTCAATTGCCCCTGCATATTTGCTTTATCACATTCACATTACATTGTGAACTGAAAACGAAATGAAGATGAGGATAATTCTTTTGGGCCTGACAGTATGGTCTGATATCTTAAAGAAAAGCAAACCTTAAAAGTCCAGAGTGGATACAGATTTCAGTGACAGAACTTATTTTTTCTTTTCTTTCCTATTTAATGATTTGACCCTTTAGACATATCTTTTGACCCTTTTTATTTTTAACCTTTTAGAATAAACCATAAATCCCTTCAGATTCATACTTTTTCTCCCACAGTTTATCCTTTAACTTCACTTTTGACCTCTTAACTTTGATTTTCACTCTATTTTATCACTTTAACTAGCGGTCAACTATCATTAGTTTTTAACAGCTGATACTGATGCCTATAATGAGAGAGCAGGTTGGC